AGAATAGTGTAATTTTTAGGTAAAACTTGAGACATCTGAGAGTCTCTAAGGACTCTAATGGTTGACTTAGGAAGGAGACCTGGGCATTGCTGTGAACAGCTCAAAGTATATGGAAGTGTAGTCATATCCCCTATAGAGGTTCCTATATTCATTTCTGAGTTGGTAAACTTAAAATTCTGAAGAAGCTGAACTGGAGCACACAGTGCTCCCCAATGACCAATGTGGGTGTAGGAAGGAAGAAATCAAATCCAAAAAAACAGCACTGTCTTTACTTCGGTGCCTGGGTATTTTACGTTATAGGAAAATTAAGTGCAAACAAAAATCAGAGAATCAAACACCACTTCAGTGTCTCTGAAGCCCTTAACAGTTTTGGAAGGAATTCTTACCCGTGCTTACAATTAAATGGAGTAGCAGCAGTGCGAAGGCTTTGAATGCCTCTTACGCGTTGAGAATAGTTGACTGCCTGTTTTGCCTCTCATCTTTCATTTATTTGAGGATAGGATAGTGGTATTTAGGTCTGTACACCAAGGCTTTGAGCTTTTTGTTACATACCTGGAGTCCCATAGATGCGCAAACTCTTACTCATCTTTTGCGGTTCCCTTGGTTCTGCCTGCAGTGACATTGGCCTGATGCTGCTTGGAAGCAGAAAGCACTTCAGTGGGATACACATAGCAACCAGCTCTGTATCTGTTAATAAGAGGAAAGAACCATCAAGAAAAACGCGGAGGCTTCGTGATAGCTTGTCCTGTACTGCAGCACTGTGGAAGCTGCTGCAGTTACATTTTGCAGAGCCCTTTGAACTTCTGTGCACAGCGTGCGACAAAGCGAGGGTGCGTTTGTCTGTGCACACGGCTACAAGCTGAAAAAAAAAATAAAAAAAGCTATCACATTTCTAGCTGCTGTTCTTGTTAACTGTGGAGACTGGTATCAAGTGCCTACAATGGTAATTTCCACAAAGAGAATAAATTATCAACAGGAACAACAACCTAGGTCAAAGGGGAAAATTCTGCTTTTTGATTATTTGAAATCGGAACAAATGTTCACTTTTTCAAAGTGATGATTTTAAAGGGGTAATTTTTGTGTAAGAGTGAAAAATCACATAGCAAAAGTCAAAAAGTTCCTATTTTTTTCTAATTATTACTACTTTTCTATCTTGCATATAAGCTAAATCCCTAGGCTAGCATGCTCGCATATTCTCCTTATTTCTTCTTTTAGTTAAGCTTATACTTACAAAAAAATTACAAACAGCAGTTGAAGAAATCTGAGGTAGAGCAAAGTGAAGAACAATTTCCAAGTCAGAGAGATAAAGAACTATGTTTCCCTTGTCGCTTTTTAAAAAGTGTCCCTTTTAAAACAAAATAAAACTAAATATCTGTTTTATTTAAAGGCATGTAAGTCATATCGCGTAATTTGAAGCAGTGACAGACTAGCAGCTGACAGAGGCAGTTTTGGTAGTGCTTGCCACCTAGTGGATTACTGCTTGTATACACATAGAATGAAAAGGACCATCCTCCACAAAATATCTGAAAATCTGATTAATCATATTATTTAATAATACCCTGCAAACTTTGAATGCAGCTGAACATTCTTTTCTTTTGTCAGAATTAAATACTGTTGAAATTTAAAGGAAAATTGCAGGCATTTGTATACCCCATGAGACAGTTCAGTCACTCCCGACAGAGGCAGGGTGAGGTCAAGGAGCACTCAGTGCCCATGGACAGGGAGCTTGGACCCAGCCGCAAGCTCAAGCCTCGAGTTGATAGATGCTGGTGGAATCTGTGATGATCACATTTGCCAAACGTGAGCAAGAGCATTGACATTTATTCCAATTTTATCTTTTAGCTTTATCTGCTTTTAGAGTTCTGATATCTCAGTTTAATTTGCAGCTAATAGAATAAGGAAAAATGAGCATTTCTTGCATTCGTCGGCATCTGTTTGGTTGACGTGGACTCCAATCCTTTCCTGTGTATTAATTTACCCTTCCTAACTGCCCACTAGATTTGCAGAGATAAAAGTGTTCACTGTCCTGTCATACCAAGCAGAACAGTTCAGAAATTAGTAGCAAAGTTCAGAATTAGTAGCGAAGATTCAGTCCTTACCGAATGTTAAAAGTTGTGATTTAGCAACATAATACAATTCTGTATTCAGTGGTATCATAAGCTTGAAAAATAATTTTTATTAGCATACAAGTAAGTATAAGGAAAATACACATAATTAAACATTTGTTTTCATCTACAAATATGTATTGCAAGTAAGAAAACAATAACATAATTCTTAAAGTCCTTGTGAACAGACAGATACAGAGGAAAAAGTTTTGTAAAAGAATCAAATGAAAGTTTTCTGAATCAGAAAATATTTGGCAGTACCTTTTATTGTCTCAATAAAATTTCCATGTACACAAGCTATCTGTATTTACAGTCATGCCATCCTTTTGATTACATATAGTAAGAAGTGTACATGTAATAACTATACATTCAATATTAAACTCTAATTTTTACCATCATTTCTCAGGTGCGTTAATGTTGGAACAAAACACAGTTCTGCTGCAGTGCCCAGTACTGCAAGACAGCATGTAAATCCATTTAAAATGTTTTTTTCCCTCACATATAAAAAATAGTAGTTTTTATATTAGGCATGTAAGTTCCTATATTTTTATAGAAACCCAAACTTGAAAGGTCAGATGTATAATCCTATCTCTGTAAAAATGTAATAATATAGAATATTCCAAAGCATCCATTAAAATGCTGATTAAAAAAAGCTAGAATTGTACTTTTCACTTATACATACAGTTAAAAAATATATCATTTTAGTTTCCATGAGCTACTCCTACACATAACTGCAAGTTCTATGGAAGAAAAGTTAATGGAAGGCCACTTTGAGAAACAGATTTAAGATTTCTGTTTTTTTTTTTTCCTGAAAAGAAAACTCTCCAAACTCCTTATTTTTTTTTTTTTTAGTATTTGAATTAACTTGAACTAAGATATCCCTGCTTGCTTATGTGACACCGTGATTTCCCAGAATAATTTCCTTATGATTTTCTTCTAGCCTGTTTAACCTTAAAATTTGAAAAAGAAAAATACAGCCTGGTAGATTACCCTTGAAAGGCTGGTAGTCGTCGGTTTGCAGTGACTTTTATGTCTTCAGCATGGAGACAGAAGAAATGCCGCCGTTCTTTTCTGAAGCATCGTTACTCTTATGTAGTACTCTTGGGGATAATTACTACTATAGCTTAACTTTAACAGCACACAGAACTATGCGCCTGCAAGTTGCCATTTCAACACATCCAGTTCACTGATGTAAGAAAGAAATCACAGATTTTGTGTTTTATTTTTTCCAGTATACTGTATGGTTAGACTTTCTTCCAGAATATTCCCTGTGACTACCTTGCATGCAAATGTACACTTTTATTGGATGAGTTAGTGCCAGGTAAGGACTGAATGAGCTAATTTCACAGGAGGGTAAGACACAGTAATGGGGCAATACATGGCAACTTAAAACGTTGTCACCTCTGTTGCGCCTGATGTAAATAAATGAACTCATGCTCCAGGAGTGTTAACAGAGCACCTTTCACAAACACTGAATTTGCATCCACCAGCTCTACGTTGCTTACTGATTCTACGAAAAAACATAGGCTTGTATGAGCAGAGTATCACAGGAAACCACAGGAAAAAAGATAACAGTTAAGTGTTTTCCAAAAGGTACCGTGACTTCCTACTTAACAGGCAATATATAAATTTAGTAGGATGAGTTACATAATAATGGCACATCAATCAAATACTAATATCATGTAAAAAGAGCACTCAATTTTCTCTCACAAAGTCCTCATCAATACTATCTGTATTTATGCAGAAGTTGCTCAGTACATTTTCAGGGAAGAAATAATTTTGTGGAACTTGAAAAAGCACATCCTCAAAAATGGGGAAAAACAGTCCAGTGCACTGTACCCAGCGGGACTGTGAGTGTCACCCAGTTGGACAGCAAGGCCTTCTCTCATACCTCAGGTATCCACCCAAATATGTAAGCAATGACGTAGAACTAGAGGATGCAGCCCTTAAATACCAAGTGCTTTCTACACTGTACAAATAACTAAGTGTTATTACAAATCAAATCACAGGACCTGAGATGCACTTTGTCAAAGGAGATCCAAAATAATGCATATCCAAAATAGTATATACTAACATAACACTTTGAAGTAGAAAATTGCATATTTGGCAAATCTTAATGTGACCGAATGTTTTGAAAAGCTAAGCTAAATGAAAATTAATGTAGGCTTTAAAAAAGTAGGAAATGCTATGCTGTCTGAACCACTATGCAGCCTTCTTTGGTAACATGATTAGTGATAAATTTAGAACAGCTGTTGCAGTTATCAAGATTACTCTAGTGAGCTCTGCAGCTTTTGTAAGAGATCATAATAAAAAAGCTCATCACTTTGGACATGTGCAATCAAAATAATCTGCTGTAATTCAATGGTAGTAAAAATAAAAGCATGGCTTATATTTGTAAAAAAAGAGTAATACATTAATACTCTGATTATTAAAACAAGCTATAAAAGTAAAGTGCCACTACAGACTCAAATAGGATTATTTAACATATTATTTTTAAATAAGAGAAGTTTAAATGGCTTGATTAGACTAAAGTTTGTCTTCACTCGTGCAATGCCAGTGTGGAAATACCCATCCTGGCTTTCAGTTAGCTGGTAACCTTCTTGTTGTGCCGCTCTTTCTTGAGAGAAAACGCTTCTCACTTCAAGTTCTTCTCTCTGTGATCCTGCTCATCAGTCTACTCTGGTTTCCAGTTTCCTAATTTCTAGACTGGTGCCGTAAATCAAGTGAAATTGTACAATCAAATCAAGATAGTAAATACTGCCTTCTGGAATCAAAGGAAGACTTGATTTAAGTAATAGGTATATATAGAGAGATATGTATAGGTACACACATATACACTTGAAATATATAGTATGTATATACACACACTATATAGTGTGTATATATAGTGTATATATATATAGTATATAAGTATCTGTAGTTGTCCAAATAAGACGAATTCTGCCTTTGCTACCTCACCATTTCCTTTGCACCTCAGCGACAATCACCCACATCCAAAGCTAAATGCTCATACAGCAGTGTACCCAATGTAGTTAAAAAGGTCAAAATTTAAAATCTGATAAACAATGTAAATGTTTTTCAAAACAACATAACATTTCATGAAAATTTTAGGCAAACTGTTTCTTTACCTAAATTTAAAATCTGAGGCTAGAAATTTTTACAGTGCAACTCTGCAAAGTGCTGATGACCTCAAATTCCACAGATTTTTAGCAGCCAGTGAGAGGGTTCATCAGCTTAGAAAACAAGCCTTTTAGAACATGAACATTATCAGGAATTAATGCTAACCACTAAATTCTCTTCTCTGAAATTCACTTACAATTCTCACTCTTACCTGTAAGATTCAGAAAAATATAGTTTCAATAACTTTTCATAAGAGATATGGGCATTACATTTAGAAGTGACAGACATTTTCCCATTAGACCTACTTTTAAAGGCATTAAACTTGGCATATTTTTTGTTCCAGCTCTCATTTACTTAATGAGGATTAAGCATGAACTAATATTTAGAAGTTACTGGAATTCAAATTCATGTGCTGAGATCTTGAATAACTTTCAGCAAGCCCAGCCTATTTCTATATCGGTGAAAGTGAATCAGAAGTATTTTTGGCAACGTAATAGTGCTGTTAACACTGTATGTTTCCCTTACATCGTTGATCGCTGGCCTGCTTCATCAAGCTTGAGGTTTCGTTTTCTGGCCGCTTCGCTGTTGAAGTCCACGTCGGGTTTATCTGCGTTGCTGCAGTCGGTCATGGTGGATTCGGCCTCGGTGCCTTCGGAAGCCCCTCCATTGGGCCGCGGAGCTTTGGGCAGCTCTTCAGGGGGGCGTCTCCAGTGGGGCCGGCTGGCCATCCACAGAACCAGCGCACCAAAGATTACGATCAGAAGGCCGAGGCAGTTGACAAAAATGGCCTCTGGGGGAGATTCCCTGTATGCAGGATTTTGCCTGGAGGGAAGAAAGAAAGTTTTAAAAAGGTAAAAAAGACAATTTCTAATGGCAATTCTGATCTAAAAGCAGCAGTTCTTTGCTAGGCAAGATGTCTTTTTAAAACAAAACAATGACTCAATAGTAGACTGCTATTATTCTGTGTAAATAGGAATGCAGTTTGCAAAGAATAAATTTAATAAACAAAAGAAAAAAGTAAATAATACTTACAGTGAAAATATAAGCTTTTCTGTGATTCCCATAAGAGCTGATGCAATCACTGTTGCAAAGATGAGCAGGCCTGAATAAATATGTATTGGCATGAGAGCTGCTCGAAGACGAACTGGAGCAAAAGGGAGTAGAAAGACTGCAAAACCCAGGAAAAGCTAAACATGAAAAAGATTCAGAGATAAGAATTAATAGGATACAAGCTGCACTTTTCAAGCAGATTCAAAATCATCATAAAATTTCCATTTTGAGATACCTTTAGGTACAAATATAGTATAAATCAAGATTTTTTTTTTAATGTGTTCCCTTTCAATACTAAGACCAAAATAATAATTTTAGATTAGCACCTGTGAAAAGACATAAAATATTTTACAAAGAAAGCTGAATGATAATGTTGAAACCAAAAACAAAGAAGAGAAACAAAGTTTCAGTGTGAAAAGTTTATAAGACTTCAAAGGTGTGAGTAGCAACATTTTAACAGTCCTTTCAACTTCCCTTCAATTTCAATTTCTCTCCTTTTATTATAGATTTACATATAATTGAACATCATAAGGCAGTTTAACTATCTGTTTTTAGGGGACTATAGAATTCACCTTGTTAGAGTAGTTTGGATTATATTGGTGCCAGTGCCCAAAAGGCCCTGGTCTCCGTCAGAGCCTACCGGTCAGGTGGTGTTCACAGAGTGAAGGTGTGTGGAGGCAGGGGAGGATGTTCAGGGGCCACCCAGAAGGCCTCCCCTTAGCACTCGCTCTGTGCTGGACCATAACCCATCACACCACAGGGTTTCATCACAGACTTGCCCAGTCTCACTGGGACTGCATCCCACCCTTACTTTGTCACATCATTACTTACTCCTGCTGCTAAATTAGAAATGGTGAATGAATTTTTAAGTTCATCTTGCTTTAACTTCCAGCCTTGTTCTGTCTTTCCATGCTGCATTCAAGAGTCTGGTGTTTTCTCCCTAGGAAGCTTTTTGATATACTCTAATCAAATCATCTCTTCATCTTCTTTTAGATCTGAACAGTCAAGGCTTTGAAAGTCTTTCCAAGGAAGACAATTTTTTCCACTTCTCATATTACTTTTGCAGCTTTTCTTTGTATTCCATATTCCATACTTTCTGTATTGGTCTCCCTAATTTAATTATAAGAGAGTATTTTTACCCCTATATAACAAAATTATTTTTCCTGTTGTCACAGCATCACGAGAAGTCATTTGTGTCCACTTTGAATACTTGTTTTTCAAAGACATTGCTTTCTGAAAGATAGTCTCTATTTAATGTTTCTGCTCTATTCTCAAATGTGTAACTTTGTGCTATGCCATATTATATAGTGTATATAGATATAGACACACACCATATATATACTTTTGGCTTCAGCTCAATGTATTTACACTTCTGTTTCTGTAGATGTGTTATTATTGAGCATCTCCTCAAGAATACCACTAAGAATTATTATTATTATTTATAATATGACTATTGAAGGGAAAATATTTACAGTAAGATTTACTTGTTTTACCTCTTATCATCTTCGCACATTACGTTTTAGATCAACATACCACTTCTGGCAAATGTTACACAGAAATACTGTATTAGTATTTTATAGCACCAGTTCTCTCAATCCCTTTAGGCCTCTGACTGGAGACTTACATCCCTGTTTGAAAGACGTAATGCCACAGGTTGGTGTTACTATGGCCAAGGCAGACAGGGCTCTGAGTTAAGTGACACCAATTATGTTCATAGTAGCAAAATGAGAAACAGATTGAAGATCAGCAGATGGCCCAGCAGTAACTTGTTCACATGTCTCAGCCTTTAGATATTTACTGCCCCTTCTTGCACCTTGCACTTGTCCTGTCTTGAGGCCGAGAAATGACAAGCTATAACTATACTAATTGAAAAAAGACAAAATAGTAATTCAGCTGAGAACTCCTTAATAAATGTCCTAAACATATTTAAATAATCTGCTGACAAACCAAATCACTTATTTCTCTTTTAAAAAATAAACCATGGCTTTGTAAATGAAAATATTCTTTCACAGTGATTTTTCAAAGCAATCCAGGAATCCGTTAGAATCATGATGCTAGTCCACACATTTGCTAGTTCCCCTGTGATAACACCAAAATAAGAGACGTGGCACTTTTGCTTCAACTCCAACAGTTTATAGAGCTTAAAAACACTACTGTAAAACTGAATAGTAAATACACTGCAATTATCCTAGCAAATAAACAAAATATGCTTTAAAGTACACTTTTCTGTGAGGTCAAGGATAAAGTATTTGCACGCTTACATACTAATTTGACACATGACAGAATATAAAATAGACATCCCAATAGCTGCAACATAGTGCGCAATAGTGAGAGCTTACTGTACCTTAATTATTCAACACATTCTTAAACTTTACAACCTGGTTATAAATAAAGTTAAATGCTGACCTGGAGAGAATAAAATATCACAGCAGTCAGCCCAATCCAGCTGTGCAGGCTATACATGTTGGGAATGTTGCTGGCATTGTGGTAGTCAAACACGGCGACCATAGAAACAATTGCAAGAATCATAGCTATGGTATTTAACCCAGCGTGGATGAACTTCATCAGGAGTTTGCTGCATTTCCAGGTCCAGGGCAATCTATATACAATAATGGCTGAGGAAAGAACAGAAACAGGATTTCATACTTTATAGAATAACTTCTCTAAGATTTTAAGAATCATGCTTCATTCCAATACAAATTACAGGGAAATCAAACATTTAATCCTCTAAAGAAAAGTCCGTTAAAATGTTTTCCTTCTGCACAACCTAACACATCACATATTCCAAATATAAAACCAAGGCTTAAATACAGTTTTTGAGGAGATTTCTTCTTAACTTTACAAAATTTTAGGTACATTCTATTCCCAATAAAGGCCTTGCTCCTTAAAGTGATCTAACTTGGATTTTTCTAGTAGCCAGATCAGAGGAATAGGTCCAAATTCTTTTATCCAGAAAGTCAATCTCTAGGGAAGCATGTAAGAATGTTTTTATATTCATTGTCTTTGCCAGTTTTGAATGCTCTTATCAAGTAATTATATAGGTATTTATAATTATCTATTACATAAATATTAAGACTATTTTAAAGAGGAAAATGCTACTTTGATTTTAAGGGAATCATAATCTGATTCTAAAAAACGTATTTGGCAAATAAAATTCTTCAAACAATCTTAGATGAATATAAACTTTTTGTGTTATCATATGTAATACTAGCAGGCCATAATGTGTCTAGTCTGAACATAGCAGCACTTTCTAAACAGTGATTAAACCGCACATGCCCATGAGGACCTCAAGAGCTGCTTCTCGCAGCTCTTTCCTCAGCTCTCCACTGCCACATCCCTTCCACAACTCCCTGCCACGTGCCTGAGCCACAGATGCTTTCCCAGGGGAACCTGTGGCTTTCCCATGGATCAAACCACATGCCTGAAGCCCCAGGTACATCTTACTACAAACCTGTAGGATTTCTAGATATGCAACAACAAATAAGTACCTTCAGGTAATAGGGGACAAATATTTATGTGCATGCTCAGTTACTTGCCAAAAAAAAAAAAAAAAAAAAGACTAGTGCCCATAATACCTTTCCCAAGCAAAAAACTGAGCTTTATTGATCTGGTTCATCAAGAACTCCTTTAATATTTCTGGTTGTTAAATGGCATTGAGATTCCTCTATATAATTAGCTATACTAAAAAGCAAAGAATAGAATGTACACAGGCTTAAAAAAGAGTTTCTGTTCCAAACATTTAGAAGCACATTACTATGTGCACCAGATAAGAAAAGTATGTAATACCTGATAAATACAAAGATGAAGAATTGAGACAGGGAGTTCTCATGCTTTCCTCATTAACCTTAGTTTTTTCTTTATTCTGCATGTTGTGTGAAATAGTGCTGAATACTAACAAATGACAAATTAATTTTTAAAATCTATCTATACTTATATTTTATTTGGATGCATTCCAAAAAGCATAAGATTGTACCAAACAACTGACAAAGAAAACTCTGTTTACAAGTGGAATTTCCAGCCTGAAAGTGGATTTTAAATCTGTGTCTGCTTCTAGTTGCTGTGTCAGTATGTAATACTAGAATGGAAATGATCAGAATGCATAGCACTTAGGTAGTTCTCAGTACTTTATTTTTTAAAAAAGTAGAACTAGTAAATCAAAATCAGTAAACTAGATGCCTACTGTCCAGACAGCTTGAGAATAGTCAAGCTATAAAAGGTAGATTGATTTTGGTGATTCAGTACTACTGATTTGGATTGCTGATTTTGTACAGCATGTATGCCACAAGACCCCAGTTAAACCTCAATATCTCATGAAGGTATCTGAAACTGTAGGATAGAAAAGCAAATGAAAACAGAGTGAGAGCCTGGACACTTGTTAACATTGCCATACATCAGAGTTATATGGCGTAGGTTATATGCCATAGCCTAGACAAACGCATACCAGAGCATTTGCACTGAGCGCTGCCCATGACTTGGGCAAATCTGCTGGTCCACCACTGTCAGAAGAGAAGGTCCCATTTCCCTACCATCACTTTTGCTCAACATGTCACTGTATTGTCCCCCACTTTGTCACAATGGTGTGTGCCTGACCAGCAGGAGGGTGCTGGAGTACACTGAGGCACAGAGGGGATAGACGGAGACCTGGTGGAGGAGGGACCTGCTACTCTCAGTGGCTTCAGCTTTAAAGACTGCCTCAGCAAGAGGTAAAAGCACACACAAAGCTCCTGCACCCACACCTGTTTAGGTGACATGCTAAGGTAGAGCTGTGAACAACTACCTTTAGTTTAGCATCTACTGACAAAAGATGAGGATCAGGCATCCTTAGATAGAAGTTCTTTACTCAGATGTCAGTCCTGTTACGAGCTCTGATTTTCAACTTTCAACAGCTTGTGTTTGGTTTGAAATACCTGTTCCTCATCAACCATATCTAGCTGAAATTAGCTTTCTAGGATTTCTGGATGCCAAATGCTCTGTGACTGTCAAGGGCTGCTTGGAGATCCTCACACCCCAATGGAGTCACGCAGCGTGGCTCAGGCTGCGTGCACGGACATTGCCGCTCTGAGCTGCCAGAAGGAGCACTCCGCCCATTTCCTTTGCTGCTCCTTCATGCACAATCCTGTTGCTTGCTTTCTGCCAGTTCTGGACTCCTGCTGGCTTCTTTTGAGAACTACTTTAACACTAAAATGGACAAAATTAACCCAAAGGAAACATGCCCATTTATGATTTCAGCAGAGCTCAAACTAAGTGTATTGCAAGAGCTGCCCCTCCACAGCTTGGCTGTGATGAGACCCTGAGCTCAGCAGTTTACCCTTCACATTCCTGAAAATTCTACAACCCATCAGCTCCTGGAAAATACAGGAGTTGACAGTTTTTCCTTGGAACAGATGTTGTGTTATGTTCAAATAAATGTAATCCTAAAGTTTTGTCACATAACACAGAGCAAGGGGTTATCCTCAGAAGTGATTTAAAGGTGAAGGAATGTTTACTTTAAGAGGTTTGCATTACTGAAAAAGGATTGTGATCAGATGATATTAGAAAACTTTATAAAAATCATATTTACCATTGAACATCTTTTGATCTTTCTGGCCTGCTCCACCATCTCAGGCAACTTGTGAAACTAGCTCGTCAGCCATTGTAACCTGCTCCAAGGATGGCTTCCTGGATGAATCCAAGAGCATCATCCGTTTTCCAGCTATTGTTAGATGGCTGCTTAGTCCCATAGAGCAGTTATATCTGGGCACTTTGCACCTTCTCTGGCCAAAGACAGGAGGAACCACTGTTACTCATTTACTCATTAAACAGAAAGGAGGGGATTCTCCTACACTATTTTCCCCACTCTCTCCTCCTCTCTGCTTTTGTGCATGGTGCCCCTTCCCACTTCTGCCATCTATGGCACTTTTGAGACCTGCTGGAATGAGTTCCATTTGGTAATCCAGCAAAATCTCAGTTTTTTGAGGGTGCTTTGATTTTCTGATAAGCACCAGATCCGACAAGCACAAGAATTGGCACAAACAAAGAGGGACAGGAAGATGAAGCCAAAGCCCAGAAAAAGCTAAAACAAACAGAGGGCAACAATGGGACTGTTTTCAGCTGGAGCGAATTGTTAGATTGGCCCATGCATCTATGTAATTTCATCCATACAGAAGAAATTTAATTGACTCTAGAACTTCACATGATAATGTGGTAGATTAGGCCTTTTTCTTTCACCTTTAAGATTAAGAAAAACTTCTGCTGTATTCTTTTATTAATACATTTCTGCTCCTATGCTGTTGCTTTTAGGCTCCCGGCTCTGACTCTGTTCAGTTTGCTACAGCCCCCAGTGTTGCCGACGCGGGGTCGGCAAGCCTCGTCCGCTAGCTGGGCTGACCTGGGGTTGTCCTCACCCCAGGGCCCTAGAGCACAGATGCCAATATGGGGGATGCAGCAAAAAGGCATTTATTGCGCAGTTCAGTCTGCCTATATACTCCAATAAAACGCGGAAACTCACCTACTACCCAGTTGGGAGACTAATTTCTACTTTTTGTCTTGTATGGCATGGGGTTATCAGTAAACTGCATAAATTAATTCTGCTCCTAACTCCCGTGACATCGTGAGATCTTCCAAGCGCTATGCCCTATGCTCTATGCCCTATGCTATACTACATCATCTGCTTTTGCTAAGCTCTTTACCTTATTAAGCCCTAAAAGCACAAAAAACTCCTACACCCCAGAATAACCAGGCTCCTCCTCAGTCTACAGCAGAGATGGGCAAACCCACAACAAACAAACCCACTGATCTGTTCCTCTATTTTCTGCAATTAAATGTATGCAAAAAAAAAATCTGTAATTTGATATCCTAGCAAAGTCAACAGGTGTTTTATTATTCTTTTACTTATTTATAGCCTAAAATTGCACCTCACATGACATTGGGCAATAGCAGCTAACTGAAAATATACAGCAGCTTCAGAGCGTCGCAGTGCAAGCAGGGCGGTGCTTGCTGCTCGTGCTTGTCGAGCCTTGAACGCGCCTTCCAGCTCCTCTGGAACCAAGGTCCAGATGTGCTGGCCTCCTCCCTGGCTGCGTGAATGCTGCGTCGCATTCACCAGGGAAGCTCATGTAAATAAGGTTATTAAACATCAAATGGTACTTAACTCCACCTCTTACCAAGTACTCCTGTTCACACTTATATTCTGCATTCTTCCTTACTTAGGAATAATGAAATCTTCCCCTCAACTCTCCACAAAGAAATCAGTGGCAAAATTATAGAGCATTTCCACTGTTCTTCTCAGCAATATTTATTTGTCCTGCTTGGACATTACTGATGGTTCATTAATTCTGCTCATGTTGAAACTAGTCTGAATTTTATCACTGGCTTTATGGGAAATTATTGCTGTAGTTCTTCTCTCTGCTTCTTTCTCCTGTTATTTTAAGGCATTTATTTTCACCTCCAAATTTCAAGATTCCTAAAGTACTGTCCAGCACCTTTATTTTTGCAATATTTAGCTCTAGTGTAATTCTGTGCATAGGCATAGCTAAGTTAGCAGCTCTAAGTATTGCATTTTTCTTTTCTTTTTTTTTTTACCGTAAGCTGAATTCATTTTTGAACTAGATCAGGTCGGACTTATTTTTCTGTTCTCTTGGAATTAGCTGTCAGTAACACTGACAGCAAAAGCACAGTTCAAAATCCACCATTTTTATCACCACAAGAAGCCAATAAAACCTTGCACTTAAGACGCAGCACTTTAGACATAGCACACTAAGGGCGTACGATGGAGAAAAGAGAAGGGGGGGTGTTGTTAGTGCCGTAATGGGGCGCACCGAAGGGCGCTCGCCTCGGCCGTGCCGCGCTGCCCAGGCGCCGGGAGCCGCGCAGTTAGAAGCGCGTCGCAGAGCGTGGCTCGCGGCGGCGCGCGGAGCTCGGCAGCGCTTCCCCCGCGCCCCCCGCTCCCCCTGAGCCTCCCTGCGCGCCGGCGGCTCCTCGCCCCGCGCCCGGCCGAAGGGGCGGCCGCGGCGCCGCCTACAAAGGAGCCTTTGTGCCGCCTGCTGCGGCCGGGACGCGCCGTCTGCCCCGCGGTCCCGCCGCGCACCCACCGATGCCCTGCACGAAGATGAAGCCGGTGACGACGAGGACCGGGTGCCAGTTGAACTCGCCCGCGCCGCCGTCCCAGCTGAGCCCCTCACGGTAGTGGAAGACCCAGACGAGGGCGAAGATGACGGACACGAAGCCGGCGAGCAGCGCCGAGACGAGCAGCGCCAGGAAGCGCCAGTAGTCCTCCATGTTCGGGGGCCGCGCGGCCGGGGCCGGCACGCGCGGGACGGGGCGGGGCGGGGCGGGGCCGGGGCAGGGGGCGCCGGCCGTTGCCGCGACCGTTACCCGGTACCAACGGCTGCCCTCGCCTGCAGACCCCGGGCTCCTCGGCGCTGCCCCCTGCCGCGGCGCTGCTCTCGTTTATTTTTTTCCGTTACGTGCTTTTCACAAACTTGACAAATTTTTCTTTGCATTCGGAGCTCAGATTTCAACCGGCCCCTGTGTGTCAGCCCCAGCCCAGGCCCCTGCTCGACTCGGCGCCGTGGCTCTGGGCATAGGGAGCTGTTGGGCCAGCGGGTGCGGTGGGTGCTGCTGGATAAGGAGCTTGCAGAGCTGTTACAAAGATAACCTCAGCAGCCACAAGCTGCGAGAGATAAACCAGAAGAGGGAGAGCGGGTGTGACAGGGGCAGCACAGGGGGAGTGCATACTGTGAACACACTCACAGGAGGAGCGCCCGGCACGCCAAGAGTGCGCCTGGACTTGCTCCCCGTGGCCGCCCGTGATCCCCTTCACTCGTGCTGCGCCCGGCAGCTACCCGCCTTCCTGCACGGACGCTGGCCCAGATGTGCGAAAGTGTTTGGGGCTGCTCCGCTCAGTGTTGCAAGACCTGCCAAAATGAGGCGCTTTCATTACACGAGAGGCAGAGACAGGAAGCTGCTGCCGAGTGGGCGGTGCTGCGGCCGGCGCCCCTAGCCACACATCCCTGCAGAGCGGAGCCACGAGGAGAGCAAGGGAAAGCCCTGGGGCTCGTGGCTACTTGTGCCAGTGACACTGAAGCACCAATATTGTTAGCTTTCCTAGGGCAGTGTGTGTAAGAGAGTCATCTCAAACGTCCGCTCACAAACAAATTAATTCCAACAAATTAATCTATATACCCTTTATTTCTAAACCAACAGATAATGAAATCATAAATGTCTCCTTATCTACAAAAAATGTCTTGTGGCACAGTATAGCATTTATATATGATACATACCAGGGCATTTTTACATGCCCATAAAATAACAACTTTGTATCTTCAGTCCTTCACCCATTGGCTTTTAAACAGTCGAATATAGAGATATCACTCTCCTCTAGTAGTATTTTTGAAAACCGGTGTTTAAAAAGTATCTGTGAACCTTCCAGATTTCTGTTGAAATGCAACAGATCACAAAGTATCAGTTTCACATAACTGTTAGTTCCATGCATGAAATCACAAATTATTGCATATAACTGCACAAAAGGATTTTTAGTCCCCCAGACTTATTCATTCTTTCCAGTTAGATGATATGGTATAATAAAATGTATCTTGTCTTCCTACAGCATACACACACATAAATATTTCTCTTAAGTCATCTTTATGTCTGTAAACCTAATCCTCCAAATTGCAAAATACTTAGAGTCAATAACAAACACAGAATTTTATTGAACTGTGAACAGCGAGAGAGGAGTTTTGAGCTAACCATGAGCAACATGCTCTCTTTTTTTTATTGTTTTTGAAATAAAGCTTAAGACACTTTAAAGCTTACTAAGTGTTAAATAAACCAAACCAGAACAAAGTGCAAAAAAAAACCAAAGCAGATTAAGCGAAATGAAGGGTACTTCGAGAAAAAACTGTAACACAGGAAAAGACTTTAGGCAGCACGATTAGCAACTCCTGCCTGTATTTCTCATTTCCTTTTCTTCCACCTCTTTTTGCCTATCTGATCTGAGGACTGAACTGTGAATTTAGTGATCTGCCTGGGACCTGCACCCCCCCAGGTGTGAGAATGAGGCTGGCTTGTACCGGAGGGTAGCCCGACTCTTGGATTACTGAAGCCTGCCTTTGCATCACTGTGAGTAGGTGCCACAGCAGTTCATGATCTCTCCTCTGGACTAGTCATTGTTTGAGCCTTAGAACAAGACATTCCAAGCAAGTTACAGTCTCCCTCCAAACATTTGGAGAAGCTCTCGGAGGCCACATGGCTGTTCATTGCATAAACACACAGAACTGCTGAGATACTCCAGCTATGTTTGCCCTAGCAGGCAACTTAACTGATGGTGGCAAAAAGGCCTTACCAGGAGTAATACCGACAAGTGGGCTGAATTAATTTGTTTTGGACCAACACCAACAAGCCAGGACATTGCTTTTACTCTCTTGGCACTGAACTCCATGTCAAAGAGGCAGCCACATTTCACTTTGTCTGTTGAGGGCCTTGCTAACTGAGCTTTACAGGAAACGTGGCTAGTGAACAGGACTCTTGCTAAAATAATCTGCTTACATCCTTGAGAAAGCTCTTGCTGAGATAAGTAAGGCAGGTAGTGCGGGTCCAAAATCCTCTGTTGGTTTATAGGCCAGTCATTATTACCTATGCAGTGAAAAATCTTTATTGTGCCTTAATCCATAGTTATTTTCCTTCCAGAAATTTCAAAGTAATTTTCTAGTACATTTGAAGTCTTTTGTAACAATTTTTGAAAACTGTATGACAGTGGGAAGTTGTTGGAAAGTTCCTTCTATATGAGTAAAGATAAAAAGTTCCTTCTACATGGGTAAAGATAGAACAGCCCTTCTGGGATGTGGGCTTTGTTTCGCTGAAGAGGTCATGGGGAGGTGGAAAAAAAGTGATTTTGCGAAAGTACAAATGCTGGAAGGCTGTTGCTGTGTTGCTGCAGTCCATGAAACAGTTCTTTATAAGACAGAAACATCAAGCCAGCTTTTAACCAGGAAAGAGAAGGGGCAGCAGTGTTACGAAACACTACAATAAAGGAAATACTGTGTCAACAGCAGGGACTTTTCTAGGTCTCTGCTCTGACCATGCAACTGTGCAGCAATTGTGCTGCACATCCACATATCCCAAAGTTAAGAATAACTGTGGCTCCAAAACATAACTTCTGTGGTGTTAGTCTGAATGTGGGCCAAGTGAGCAGCCAAATAAACATGTCCAAATACCCATAATTGTTTTCCCTCATGCTCTCATCTGGCAAGCAACTGTTGCTGGAGACTGGCTGATGGGCCCGCGATCCCACAGACATTGCTGCTCCGTCTTCCACACAGTGTCTCAGGTAACCCAGGGCTCTTGAGCCATTTTCTGGAATTTTAGCTTCCCCTTTCATGCTTCCTTTTTCCTATTCTTGAGAAGACTGTGCACTTATTCTTCCTCAAGAATATAATGTTCCTAAGAACGGGATGTTCCTTCCCCAACTCACCCAAGAATAAGGAATTTGTATGCCTCATTTACCAAATAAGTTGTTAAGCTGTATCAACAAGGGCAATTGTAGCATTTTATCTACTCATTCTGCCAGGGGAATATCTAGTTTCTTTTATTATTTTAAACACTCCATTTTTGTACTTTATTTGTAATCTTTCATATTCAAAGCAAGCATTCATACTTATCTGTCAACAGCAGGATGACAGAAAAGTCTTTTGCTGCTCCTGAAAGTTGTCACCATTTTGTAACTTCGTTAAAACAGAAATAAGAGCTCGAGTTACTAATGTTTAGATACCAAATCTAGCAAAAAGAGAGCTTCAGGTAGTCCTCTCTGAATATCTAAGATTATGACAAAGATATAAACAACATGCTCCCTTCCAGTATCTCTTTTGATAAAATAACAGGACTTATCCAGAGAAGTCAAGAAACTATGTAGAAAGTTCGGGTGATGTCACCTAACTGGGAATTTTGCCAAGAATAGCCAAGATCCCTTCAATTTTGTTTGCAATATGCATTTGAAAGTGTACTTGTGTTAACAAGTCATATACATATATTTATATTCTAGATGTGTTTATGCATTTTTTTTCTTGGGCCACTAATGCCAGCAAAAACATTGCAACAATGGGCTTTTGATTTTTTATCTTCTAAGGCATGCATTTAAAGCCTAATTACTTGAGGCTTTATCTGCAAACTCTGGAAAACAGGACCTTAGCAGTAAATACCAACTGAAATTTTAAGTAATATAACTCAGAATTTCACAGCAATCATTCCTTAGGCCAATTTTCTGTAAAGCTGCAAACTTTACAGAAGCAGTGAAGGGATTTGCTGATCACAACTGTTAGCAACTGTTTATGAAGAGTGAAAAAAATACATATTTTTCATTTTATTTTAAAATGGAAGTAAAAAGCATTTGAGTAAGTTAGACCTACTTTTTGGGTTTTTTCTTGGCTAGTATTTTTGTTTTTCCTTCCTTGTAAAAATGTCACACTTCGATGCCCATAGAAATGATTATGGGGATCATGTGCGCTAGATTTTTTTTCTCCCCCTTAACGGGAACCATATGAGCATTCTCAGAATTTATCTACTTTACAAATACTCTTTAGCATAGTGAATTATTCTGATTTTGTAAGAGCTTTTCAAATATCTAATTTACATTATGGAAAAGAGAAAGTTAAGTGTTGTAGAATCATCAGATATGGGCATCAAGCCGTAGACTTACAAGTTAAATTTAATGCATTTATTGAAAGCTCATATCTATTGGATACTGCACATTAGCACTGCTCTGCCAGCATCAGCAATCAGAACTTGTTTTGTGCCTTACGTATACAAAACAAACTACTGGCTTTTTCTGGCAAGAGTTTTGAATTTCAAAATTTAATTTGAAATAAAAGTTGTTGACAAAGGTGGCCTGCAACCAAGCAAGCAGAAATTTGCCTTTAGTTCAGGTATATGGTATTTTATGAAATGTAACTAACAAGCTGTGGTCAGGATTTTCCTCTCTTGAAATATATATATATATATATTATATATATATTATATATATATTTATATATATATAATATTTATATTTATATAAATATTTATATATATATAAATATAAATAATTTATATTTATATTAAATATTAAATATATATATTAATATATATATTAATAAAATATTTATATATATATAAAAATTCTTCAGGGCTATAATAGGTACAGAAATCAATGCAGTTGTTTACACCTTGAGAAAGCACAACTCATAACCATTTACTGACTCTGACTCTCTAGTGTGTCCCAGCCCTTTTATAAGTAGGATGACAAATACACTCAGAGAGGCACTCAGGGCTGGCCATTCTGGATTCACTGTTCTTCAGTACCTTTTGAAGTGTTTCAAGTTAAACAGAATCACATCCTCCTAAGCAAGAATAAAAATGTCTGTGCATGACCTTCCATGATGGAACATCTGCCATTATCTGTAGTTTAGCAACACACTGTGTATTTAGAATAATATAATTTCAGAATATTTCAGAATATTTCAGAATATTTAAGGTTGGAAGGGACCTCTACAGATCATCTAGTCCAACCTTCCTGCTCAAGCAGGCACACCTACAGCATGTGGCACAGGGTGGCATCCAGGCGGGTTTTGAAGACCTCCAGAGTAGGAGACTCCACAACCTCCCTGGGCAGCCTGTTCCACTGCTCTGTTACCCTAACAGTAAAGAAGTTGCTCCTCACCTGGAGACGGAACTTCTTATGCTTCAGTTTGTGGCCATTACCCCTCGTCCTATCGCTGGCCACCAGTGAGAACAGCCTGTCCCCTTCCTCCCTGCATTCTCCCTTCCTGAACTTATACATGTTAATCATATCCCCTCTGAGCCGTCTCTTCTCCAGAGAAAACAGGCCCAGCTCGCTCAGCCTCTCCTTCAGAAAAAATCTGTCTGCTTCATCAAAGGCTGGGTTGCTGCTGGTCACGCTAAATAGCCACATTTTTCAGTGAGTGGATGTTGATGTGCAATTGTTGATTTAGTACACACTGTCACAAGCAATGGCTCAAAAATAACAGTTGCTAGAAAAGTAGAAGCATCAGCTGATCTTTACGAACTGTACATCTACTATACAACAAACACTTATTTTTTACAATTAGAGATTTAAATGTCTTGCTTCGGAAACTGAAATATAAACTAAAACGTAAAAAAAAATCACAAATATTAGTATAAAAATGTCAATACTATTGAGATCTGCTTTTTAGGACTGCATGGCACTTCCGAAGAAAGCAAAATGTTCACTTACCTTTTTTTTTTGGAAAAAAAGAAAGGCAACTTTGCAGTAGCCTCATTATGTCTGTTTCTCTCTGTCTACTCCGGCCACTAAGGGGAGATTAATGATCATCTGGAAACTGGACTTTTCCTTTAAAAGGATAATTTTAGTGTCACTGGCCTATTTTAATTTAATGGCTCTTTATTAATAAAGATTCTTATATCTGTCTTGAAACAATAAATTGCTGTGTTAACAGCTATACAAAATACTTTGCATATATCAAAATAATAGATATAAGATATAAGAAGTATTGTGAAAACCAACCGCAGCAGTTTTCCCTTAGCTCTTACTTCTGCTCATAAGTTATTGGAAAGAGAATAGGGAGAGAGGAGAATACAGAAGCAGCGATTTGTGCTATCCCAAGAACAGGGAGAAAAACAAATGAGAGGAATATTTTTTGTTTGTGTTAATTACTGATGCACTTCTGCTTTCCTTTGTTGTTGGTCTTTTGACTGAGAAAAATGTTCTTCCCCTTTCAATATAATTTTCTTTTTTTTTCCCAGTAAACAGCTTTGGATTTGTCTTCATTGACAGAGGTGAGAAATTCTTAGGGAAAGGAAGTTAGTTACAAATAACTAACTAATGCTCACTCAGAAGAGAAATTTCTGCATTAGTATAGTCAGTTTACTAGAAAGGCTTTCACTGAAAAAAAAAGGTAAGTAAATATTTGGGTTTGTTACTCTGTGTGTGAAATGAAAAGAGAGCATCGCTCCTCCCACCAAGACCTACTCAACTAAGGCCACTTGTGGCCTGCATTTGAAAATATTCTTTGGGACCATGAGGTCCAGACCCTGTTTTGTTTATTTGTTTGTTTTTCAAATGAAGGCTTGCATTCTGCAGGGTCTGAGTATAGCACATGGGACGCCCATGCCTTGTACAGGCTGCACACACTGATTGGGTTGGGTGCCTGGTATATTTGGTTCAAAATGAACAATTCCTGAACATGACATGGGAAGAATCAGAGAACTGCTTGTTTTGTGTGTGTGTATATTTTAAAGCAGTAAAGATATTTAGGTGATTAATACTAAATACCAAAGCTAAAACAAGATAGAAAATGGCTCAGGGTTTCTAGCTATGTCACACGACAGAAACAAAGGTAAGATTTTGTGTAGGTGGTTTAATGGTAAGTCTGTCATTTTTATATTGTATATAAAATTTATCAATACAATTTTACTTACTTTAACATTAAAGTCTGTATTAAAACTGCATGGATAAAACTACGACAGAACACAGTAGACAGGAATCTGTTGATAATCTGTCTGTCTTCTTGCTATCCTGTATTTCACTCCAGTTGATGAACAGGAGCAATAAATGCTATACTCAGCAGGATGAGCGACTGGTGAATACATGAAAAGGCAATTATGGACTATAGATAAGTATACCATGTTATACCACAGTGTAAAAAAAAAAACATAAAAAGAAATAAAACCTCTTATGCTCAGAGAGTAGCATAAAATAAAACACTGGTTGAGAGACAGGAGTCTACTATTTCCAATTTATGAAGTTCTTAAATAATATCCACATGGCAAGTCTCTGTAAGTTAAGAATATTCAAAAAGTCTCCCTCCTTTTTTACAAGAAACTCTTCTCATTTTTTCATGGCTTGAGCATTCCTCTTCTTCTGCAGTACTGCAGACCATTTGGTAAACATAACAACTGAATCTCCTGTTCGGCTTCTGTTCTATATGTAACACAATGTCCCTGTCAAAGTAAACTTCATGACTGTAGGTCTGAAATGAGAAAAGTAATTTTGATTTCAGTCTCAATTTTCACAACTGGTGAAGAAAACTGTAACAATTAGTTATGCAATTAGTGCTAAAGGAGGTGCTTCAGGGAACAAGTTAGACCACTGAAGTTTGACACCTAAATTTGAACTGCAAGAACTGCCCATCACATCTCTCCAAACAGACGTAGGGAAGGCCTTTGCAGTTACTGCGACAAGTTCCAAAGCTGATCTGCAGTAACTGTCCAGGGAGCGGCTATTTAAATTGATAAATATATCAGAAATTCTAAAGATCAAAGAACATTTTGAATTCACACCAATGGGGATGGTGATCAGATACTGTGTGATGGAATACTTAGAAATTTAAGTCATAATTACTATGTTGTACAAATCTTATCCATAATACAATTTATACACAATTTATACATCTGCTTCAAATCTGGACAAGAAGTGAATGTGAAGTGAAAAGAGAATGAGTGTGGTGATACATTAGCATGAATAAAGCATAAGATTTCTACTCACCACATCCCAGGACTCAAGTAATGGAATACTCTTTAGCAGAATCCCACGATCATTACAATGAAAATCAAGATGAGCTCTTCCCTCAGCTCCTATTTGAGTAACTGCTACAACGGATAACAAATCCAGTTCATCTTCGTAGTCCACAATTTTAAATGTCTTGGGAAAAACAAAAGCTCAAATATACACATCAGACATAACTTTATTTTTCCTTTTCCAGGAATTCTATAGGTCTTTCCAGTGAAAGAACAATTAGAAAATGTAAAGTAAATATAGTTCAAGTCTTATGGCATCATAAACTTTGCCCATTTGAAAGATACCGAGCAAATATCTTTCCAAACACAAACTGTTCATCGTATCACAACAGAATTCCTTATGATAGAAAGAAAAGAAAATGATGTTCTGAATAGTCCTAATGTGCAAATGCCTATATAATATGCAGTAAATAGAAGAAAAATACATTGAAAATACTTCGAAAGCAACAGAAGAAATGTGTCATTTAAACTCCATGTTCTCTTCTGCTGAAGCAAACCTGTTAACAGTATGGTTAACATACATAATGTTTCCAGGCACAGCACCTGAAGTCAGAATGACTTCTGGTCAGCTAAACTTTAAATAACCCCTAATTCACTTTTCTTCACTACCTAACAGTTACCTCTTGCTCTGGGTCATCATCCAGCAAGTTGTAACGTTTTTTCACCACTCGACCAGAAGCTGTTACAGTAACAGCACTGTCCACCTTGGGAGGAAAAAAAGTGGCTTCAGATGATACAATGTTTTAAATTGCTAATAACTATTTGACAAAGCATCTGTTTCATGAACATCTTCTTGATACCATGTTACTCATATATGGCTATAACTGGCTCTGTTGCTGCCATCGTTTTCTTATGAGGGCTTGTCAACTTGGTGGCTTTAAGATACTACTGCTCTCTACTCAGAGATCTTGGTCCTTTAGAGGTGTCAACCGAAGAGGCCAACTTCTCAGCTATTGCAAATTTCAGAAAAATAGAAGGTGAAGCTTTGCTGAAGCCAAGATGCTGAATGGTACCTAAGACAGCTGTGTGATCACCAATTTGCTTCTTAAACTGCTCCAGATGAGGAAAGTATCTTAACCACAGTTGTTTCTACTGGATATCACTAATACTGAAAAAACTCAAAATTAGGATAGCACTGTCTTAACAGAATTCACAAGGAAAAGCTACAGCACAGACACCACTAGAACTTGTATTTCTTAGCCATTATTCCAAGAAAAAATATCTTTCCTAAACAAATCATAATAAACACACTAAGTCACTACCTGTCAAACATTGTTTGTTCTAAGTTCAGTACAAGTTCTATTTCTCAGTTAGTACAGATTTTTCATATACATACTTTTCTTCTAAGGTAGTGTCAAAATTAGAAATCAAAATTCATTAGTATTCAAACTATAAAGCAGTTGCTTCTGAACATATGACTTTGCATGCTGAAACAAAGCAATAGTTCTAGGGGCAATCATAAATTTTTCTTTTAAGATTTGCTGTTTGACCTTTTCTGTTATTTAATCCCTTATGTGATTTTCTATCCAAAAAGATTTCATGATACAACTGAGGTAATTTAACAGCTCATCTACCAAAATGCTCAGATCACCCCCTTGTCACTGTGTTCTACCTTTCTGCAGTCTTCTGACCCATTGATGATTCAGTTCTGGTCCATTTCAGCTTCAATTCCTCTCACCAAGACAGCAGCTGAGTACTCACCTTTTTTTTTACTGGACTATTGTGCTATTTTAGTGCACTAAATTGGCACACCCATGATCAGATGAGTGCCAAATGCGTCACAGGAGAGTGAATTGTGCATGGTCAGGAGAATCATCCTTTCAGCAGCAACAATGTGCTGCCTTTGTTGTCTTATAAGCTTATAAGCTTAAGTAATAAGAGACTTGAAACATTTTGGCCATTTGTATGATTAATTTAAAGACTTCACCAAAGTACCAGACGTGCACACAATTATCTCTTGCTGGCACCATCTGTTGAAGAAAATCTGTCACCATCTTCTAAGTATGTTTTGAAAACATCAGTGAACACACTGTTATACTGTTCACCATAATGTTTTCTGAGAACTTGAAAGATTGAAGGCTTCAGAAAGCTATCCCGAAAACACAGTTCATTTTCAAAATTTCTTTCATATTAGCTTAGTGGAAATCCAAAGGTTATTGCACCTTTAGGCTCAATTAGGCTCACAGGATGCAGCTTATAAAACTCATACGCACAAGCCCTCTGTGCACTGCTCAAAAATCATACATTGAAATCCTGGACATTAGAAAATACTGTTACCAACTCACACTGTTTTCTCTGTTGGCAACAATCATAAAATCTTCTGCAATTTCCATTTGAGTTATATTATTTTCAACCTCCTTAAACTTCAAAACTCTGCAAAAGAAACAGAAGATACAAAATCAATCATGTAACCCACCTGATACCATAGTTCTATATTTATGATTAAAAACACTTTTTTTTTTTTACTGTTACTTTACCGTACAGTTAATAACTTACTATTTCTCACATATGCATCTGCATACACATGCGAACAGTAATCTAGAACCTGTTCTGACTCTTCATAATCCACAGTCCAACTCATTCCTATAAATCTATGCATGGGCAGGTACATAATTATCAGATGTACAAGTTTACACAGTTGTGCCAGAAGAACAGATTTTCTATGAAACTGTATACAGTTTTTTCTTAATTAAAGACATTTCCCTGACCCAGCACACACAACCACAGCAGGCCTACTCCGACCCTTGTCTAACTCCCATGTAATATTCTAAAATACAAATACTTATTACAAGTTGACCAACTTCCTAACAAAAATAAGATTTGAGAAAAAATGCTCATACTTTATCAAATTTGGTCCAGCGTGGATTATTCTACCTGACATATCTGGATGGAAATATATCCAATCAGGTTCCAGTGAACAGCATTTCATATCTTGTATGCCATTTTTTGCCTGAAGAAAAAAAGGGAAAGCTTAGAATATTAATATTCTGAAAGTCTCATAGATGTAATTAAAGAGGAAGTGCTTAGTTCCTTTCCACATGTATCTGAAGGATTATAAAGATTACTGATAATTTGACCAGAAAGGATGGCAGTGAGACAATTATGAGAAAACAGACTAGGACAATTCCAATTCTAAAGGAACAAAAGCTTCTGCATTTTTTATTAAATAATAACCAATGACTTTATACATCTCCTCTTGCCTCTCCTAAAATGATGGCACAATGAAGCTTAGGCTCTGCAAACACTTAAGCAATTCTAGCAATATGTGTTGTTTAATGCCTTCAGAAAAACATTTCTACAAACTTCTGGTTCTGCTGCAAACTTCAGGTGCAGTCTCTGTTGTGCAAATGTTTGCACTATGTGCAAGCCTGTGATAGTTCGTGATTTCAGCTGCTAACTGCTTAAAACCTCAAGATTTTCGTATTTTTTGTTTGTTGTCATTGAATTCATCTGAACCTGATCATTCAGAATTTCAAATGCATGAACCCATACAAAAAAAAAAACCTATGTGAAAGGTATGCGTAAGTCCCTTTGAATCAAATTGCAGTAATAGTTGTGAAAAATCTGTTCTAAGATAAAAGAGACAGGAGAGAAAACACTGATTTGATCAGGCTAGTAAGAGATGAGGCCATTCAGAAATAGTAAGTTTTTAGTGAAGAATCCTTAACTGACAGGCCCAGGAGCTGCCTTTACTACAGAAATATTTTCAGGTCAAATGCTGACCCAAAATAAAAGCTGAAATGAACAGCTTACAGAAAAGAATATATGATAAACAGTAATTTAATAAAAATAAATACACCCAAGGATGCTGGATTAATGATATCTTTCAAGAAAGAAGATTCAAAACTACTATAAACCATACACATTAAAGAAACATTCCTCAGTTTCTTTAAACTTGGCGTGTTTCCTCAGTCATGCCATTTGGCAGGCTGAGTAGTGAGAGGGCAGTAAGATAACCCCGTGTAAGGAACTCAGGTGCAAGGACCTGCTTAAACCTTCACTTTTAAGCTGGGAGGTAGTATGTTATATAGCACTGGCACTGCTAGGTCTGAATGATGTATCAGAAGCAATCCTAATTCAAAACAAAGTATTTTAGAGATGACTGCACTGGACTGCAGACACAACTACAAGATGATCCCTATGAGAGCACCACACTGGAAAAAGACACTGATTCTTCACGCACTAATCAGAAGGAGAAATGAGGACAAACAATGAGGACAAACAATGAGGACAAACAGAGACGCTGCTGAATGTATTACCAAAGTCTTGTCTTTCAGAGAACAAATATGGAAGACTCCTTTATGTTTTTTCTTGTTAGGTGTGATGATATAATGCCAAGGGTAACCTCCAATTTGAAATGCATTCTCCAGGGAAGATACTTCAAATAGCAAAGGTGGTGTATCTGCAAATATTGGGTAATGTTAAGAGCATTAGTAGCAGAATATGCATCATTTCATTGATGCTTACAATTCTAAATGCCAATAAAATGACTAATTCTTCAGAACATTTGAGGACTGATTGAAACACCCAGGTAGCAATAATTTCTCCAGCACCTGCCACACCACCTCACCTAGCATAGAGGGGTACACCTGCACTTCCCTAAGGAAGGTTACTGCCTTCTCACATCTTCGTGCTGAATTTCTCTTCCAAGGTCTTTGACTTATGCATTCCACATGAGCTGGGTAAGCAAAGGCTTAGAAAACATGACTAAAGCTAATCCAGCCATTTGAATGAAACAGGAGAAGGGACATTCATGTGGGCAGATCAAACAACAAAGCTAAAGGAACGTTGTGATCTTGGGAAACAGGCTAACAGAGGCAATCTCTTTAAAAGCTGGCTTGGTGAAAAAGAATATGACACCAAACATCACATGTCATTACTCATGTGGGCGTTCACGTGTATTAGGAAATATAGTTGAAGAAATTTGCAGAATTAAACATAGAAAGATGTCTGAATCTGAGTGCTCCTTCCCTTTTTGCCTAATACAGCAAACATTATGGGTCATAATGTAATCAACAGTGGAGTTCATAAAACAAAGGAATTTTTTAATTAATTGTGAAAGGAATCTAGTTCTCCTTTTAATTCAGTGGGAAAAACATAGAGATAATTTGCCATTCCTACAAATGTTTTGTGTACTAAGCAAAAGTAAGAATACACGTTTTCAGCTACAAATTCTAGTACATGTTTCTACAACTAAAAATATGTCAATTTTAGTCCAAGAAACCCATCTCTCACAGAAGTGCTGTGGAAAAAAAAAAAAAAAAGCCATTACAGGAGAATTACAAAAGGCATTTAAACAGGCAAGATATAAATATCCAAGTTGAAGTATTGTGTGGAGAATATGGTTCTCATCTAGTCTCTGTGTTTGTAATTATTAGAATTAAGTCTGACTTTAATTTTATGTCTTCTGAAGATTCAATTTACAGTCATACTTTTCCTAGGAGGCTGACTGAAAATTATGGAACAACCTGTATCACTCTGAAGTATCTTGAACTTTCCTCAAGGATTCCTCCAATTTTGACTTGGTCTTGCTCTGCTTATTCTATATAGTTAGCCAGACCCTAACTGATGATATTAAGATGTCACATCACATTTTCATTCTTTCAACTGTGACTAAAATCAAAGTCAGCAATATCTAAAACTCCTTACCAGTCAATAACTGCTTGTGAACCTACATGTTTTGATCTCTATACATTTCCTCTTGGGTACTTACAAACAGTTGAATTACAGTAAGTGTAAGCTTCAACTGCGCAACTCTAAAAGCTCCTTCACTGAAGGAGTTACATTATGCTGAATACTCAGTCAGCCATCTCATTTCTTAGAAGAAAACAACTCAAAAGCCACAGGAATGCAGCTATCGGAAACAGCAGCTACGGAAAATGTTTGTCATTATTTTCAAGACTTAACTACAAATTCTTCAATACAATTCAAGATCAAAAACATTCTTCCACAGTACTTTTGACTTTAAACTGAAGTCTGAAAAATACTTGGTATCAGCTGCCTTTTAAAGCTGCCACAGCATGTTTTCCACTCGGCCCCTAACACTAAATTGTCGTTTACCAAACTGAGCCAGGGAGGAAAATGAACAGAAATATCCCTTTGCGGGACCCAAGACATAGATCATAGCTCCCTCTCTTTGTTTTGATGAAGTATTGCATTGTAACTGAAAGCATTAACTAGCTAAGCGTGCACTTTGTGCACCCTCCATTTAATGTCAATCTGTCAATTTGTTTATTTTGTTTGGTTTTGGGTTTTTTTTTTTTTTTTTTTACAGGGAGGTTCTCTTGTAAAAATATTTAATACAGAAATAGTCAAAGATTAAAAAAAAAGCACGCATATTTGGTATCAGTGAACGACCATTTATCAAAGCACGTAAGTGAATTTGCAAGAATGTACTTCTAAAGGAAAAAATGTTTCACACAGAGTCTCAGTCTTAGCACCACATTCTAGATCTCAAATGCACCATCAAACGTGACTGTTCAGTTGTTTGGTGTCAGAGAAATTAAAGAAATCAAATCTCCAAAATAAGAGATAACATTCATAAGTTAATGATTTCAGGCATAGGAGTTGTTTTCAGAGATAATCTCAAGGATTAAGTTTATTTGCAACAAGAAGAATCATCAAAATGCAAACTCGGCAAATTATATTCTGTCTCCTTGACTTCCTTCTGCAGGCTGTCTCGTGTCTTGTGTTTATAGAAAGAAAAAAAATGTATCAGTGTATTTATTCTGGGTTTATATAATAGTTGTCCTAGGCCTCTCTTGCCTCCCAAAGCAGCTGTGTCTCAGGAACAAGTCAGGGATTCTGCTTCATAAACTGCTTAAAATATTTGAAATAGCTTAATTTCTCTTCCAATTTTCTAGGAAAGCCTTATTTAATTAATTGTTGCAATTAGAGTCAAAGCACTTTTTTATATATAATGTAAAATCAGACAGTTTAGTAGACAGTTTGTTTAGTAGAGTCACTAAACAATTAAAATAAGAGTACAATAATTTTAATGCTCCTTGGAGTGAAATAGTCATAAATAAACCATAAAAGCCACCAGCCAGGATAAAACAAAGATCATAAATACCTGTTATTTTAATGTTACACGGAAGACCAAACGGATACTTTCCTACAATTCCCACTTGACCATTCCAGTTGAATTTGTTTCCCAAATCAAATGTCTCTTCCATGAACTATAATAATGCAGAACAATTTAGTTTTATTGAAATATATTTACTTGTTTAGTTTTACTACTCTATTGTTACTGCATTTATTAATGTCCTCTTGAAGTTTTATTTTTGAATTAACATCAGTTTTTTATTGGAAAGAAATTAAAATCCCCCTGCAATTCTGTTTCAAGTTTTAAAAAAAAATCTTCCATGTCTATCAGTTTCTAAACTTAACACTTTCTCCTGCAGTTACGGAGCAGGTGAGTAAAGACCAGCATTCTTGGCTTTTGTGTTTTCATAGGTACTCTGAGTGGGTACTTAAGTGCATCCCAGCCCTTTTCCTCTTATGTTCTGCCTCCTCTGACTGGTGTTGGGTAGAATTTTCTGATAGCGTCTCCATTTGCATCTTCAGACTGTAAACACATTTAGGCAAGAATACCTCCCTTTGGCACATGCCCCATGCACCCACGTGGCTATGAATATTAATGCCCTGCTGTACCAAAACAGTGTGAACTGTATGAAAAATTTCCTGTTCTATTACCTTTTCAGAGATGGCCTGGAAGTTATAGAGCCTGACCAGACCCATACTATGCATTATGATCAGAACTCCATTAGAAACAGCAACATCCGTCACACTATTGCCAAATATCTGGAAAAAGGAAGAGAAAAATATTTTGTTGGGGAAGACATAATTGAGAGATGACAAAAAATACTGAGATTATTTTCTTAATTTTACAATCACCTTCATTTTGACTATGACCAAAAGTGATGACAAGTGTTTTAGTGGCAGAAGGCTTTTGTAGCTCATCTGTGTTCTGCTGAGTTTCTGTAATACTTTGCGTTACAGTAACACCTAAGGTTGGATAAATCACCCCCTGTAAGCACATTCATTCCCCTATTAAGTCTCAGTATGTCTCCAAATCATGTTACCCAGTTATGGCAATACATGAATAGATGATATTACCCAGTATCCAACAGATAGTCAATAGCAAAGCTAACACTTCAATCTGAAAATACTGATTTCACATCTACTGTTCTTTCTTCATCACCAGGAGAAAAATATAAGTCTAATCATGGCTCTGTGACTGCGCACAGCTGCAGTAAAACTACATTATCCAGCTGTCAGAACACAGAATCCTCTGCTGAATTCCAATTAGACACAAGCATGAGAAGCTGACTACCCCTTTTAATGATTACACTGTATTCATTTTTGCTAGCGCTTAGCATAGCTCCACTGAAAAAGGAAAACAAGCAATTCTTAATATTTAATGAATAACACATGAAGATGGTAGAGTTCTTTTTATAAAGAATTTGGAGCAGTTTTTATCTCTTAGCTGGAATTATTATGCAGAAATTAAAACAGCATTAACAGATACAAAATCAATAAAAAAGGTGAAATATTCCTAAATCCTAACACTGTCAGCAATCTTGTGGTCAGTTTCATCTTGAGATTAAAATGTGCTTCTGAAATCCTGAGCTTTTATTTAGTCTTGTGCCTCTTAATATATTTCTTAGATTAAAACAGTTTTCTCTTCTCAAACTATTACACCTGAGAACTTAGTGTCAGCTTAGTATTTATTGTACGTTCTTCTCAATAGAAGTGTTGTATAGCTGCATTCTACAATCCTGAATGATAAACCTAATCCTAACTTGAATATCAACAGGTATATCTCAGGAACAGTTAAAGACAAAAAAAGTAAACGTATACTTGAGAACTTAGCTGTAACCAGGCTTTTTATTGAGTCCTGACTGACTAAGACATTTTTAATCTTTAAGTACTAACCATGCTTACAGCACTGTGAGTACAGTACAGTACTCACATTGTGAGCCCAAAATATAAATGTCTATTGAAAAGCTACCTGGTATAAGCCATACATGTAGCCTCTTCTCAAGAAATTCATAACATCATAGGCTGAATTTACCCAATTCTAAATATTTGCCCTAAATCTATTTGACAGTATTTGGTCCTCTGTAGGACAAAAACTTAAAAGTAACCTCGAGTCCGTACCTGTTCCCTTCCCAATTCTTGGTCTGACAGCTTTATCAAGTCAAAATTGGATGTTCTCATTTTCCAATTCTGAACTGTCACCCTAACCAAAGGACTAACACAATTCAAAGCTCAATAACAAAGTTAGGGAAATAAAAGTATTACTAAGAACTGAACTAGTCCAAATTCTAAACTTAAGTCCAGTAGCCCCATTTCATTTTTCTTTCCTTCTTAATAAAATTAAAATTACACTTGAAATTACAGTAAATTTTGGAAATTGGGATTTGAGAGTACCCCCATCAGACACTAACAGTTACTCTAGTGATCAGTACAGGGACAGATGAAAATGTACTTTTCTACATGGCTTGTACTACATTCATGATGAATTTGGTAACCCACCTGTAATCAGATTGAGAACATCTTTGATACTTATAAAATCGTTGTTTTACAATCCTAACCTACTGGCAGCTCTAGAACCCAAATGAAACTGTAGCTCACAGAGCCTTCATACCACCAGCCTAGATAGAGCCTGAACATTTGCACTATACTATTTATAAGCTGCATCCAGAACTTTCTTGACCTTAAGCATACTTGTTTTTTCACTGGAACCCTGGGACTTGTCATCAAGCTTGAGTCTCCGAATGTACGTACTCCTCTTTTCAGTTGACAAACCAAACTTTAAAACAGCTTAGAAAGTATCCCATCTGTTTATAAAACAAGGTGCACATTTACCTTCTATTTTATGCTTCCATACAATCATTTGTCACTGTATACAGACTTCAGAGACTATTATTACAAGCAGATACAGAGGCATATCTATCTTTCTTGAGGAGTAAAAGAAAAGTCTGCAAACTTTATGTTTCCCTAATTTTTACAGATCCCTAATTCTAATGATTCCTGTAAGCAAAGGCTAGTTAAAAAGTCTTTCTGCATGTAAAGAAACAGCCCAGTAACAGAACGCACATATATTTTCTGGTTTGACCTTTCTGAATTAAGACTCTTTTTCACCCTCCATCAGACATAAAATGGACTCTCTTCATTAATGTTTCTAGACAATAGGCCTTTCTAAGCTTATGAATGACCTTTGCAATACTGGAACACTTGCTATATAATGATACCCATCATATAACACAGTAAAGACCATGGTTAACAAAGGAATTAACTTACCTTTTTGTTTATTTCTAACATTCCAATAAATGAAAGGGGTAAAACTTGGAATACAGCAAGATGGAACAATGCAGATTGTTGGATACCTGCCTGGAAAGGAACAACACTGAATTATTCTTTAGGCCATTGGCTATTTTCATCATCTAGCATAAGAAAGCATAGTATCTCCATACCTGCAAAATTTTTGATTAATTTGTAAATATTTAACAATAACAGATATTTTTCCAAAAAACCTACCTGCTGTGCTGCTGCAGGTAGCTTATTCTGAGATGACTTTATAACCATTACCTCTTGAGGTGTATCCCAGCTCAGGTATCTATTTGTGAGAAGAGGGAAGGTGAAATCTTAATCATTATTAAATCACCTAATAAGAAATACAGTATTTCACATAAAATATCATCTGTTAGAACTAGGCAGATACCTGTCCAGGCAGACTTTATCAGTACCTGATTTGGGAGAAGTCCCCAAGATGCTCAGTGCCTGTAACTATGCAAAAGTAATGAACTACATACCAGAAATGGCATATTTCACATATGATCACGAGAAAACTTCCAAATATATTAGCTGTTGTAGTTTTTCTCCTTGCTTTCATTTTTTAAAATTTCTTTTTTTTTTAATCTTTCAGCCTAAGAGTAGATAATTTCCTCTAAGAAGTGAAAAAAAATCCACCCACCATCTATTCAGTTTACCAGAAGCAGTAACTGCTCGGTTTTTAAACAGCAAAAAAATGGATACTGTTATAGAAAAGAATGCTCCTAAGTTAAAAACCACATTTATATAAATTTGATATTTAATACCTGAATTTGCAACAGGAACCAGCAAGGTATATTTTTTCCAATATTTCTCCACTATCAGCAGAAAGACGTAGAAGCCAGTTCTGAGCTGTTAAGACTACCAGGGAAGATTTATAGTCTGATGGACTTGGCAGTGTCTCCCCCTATGTAACAGAGGTTTATCAGAGAAAAAAAAAAAATTACACCAGGACTATACATAACATGTTAACACAATAACAAGAAAACAAAAGTGAACACATATTCCTAAAACTAAAGGTAGAAAGTAGCCTGCTAATCACATCGGGCTATCCAAGCTCATGTCTGTGCTATATAATCATCTGACTACCACAAAATATCTGTCATCACCTTTTTTACAAAACAATTACTTTTGAAAACGTTCTTGACCAGTATGAATAATTGCAAGTATACCTGCTCATGGATCTAACTGTTATCAGTCTTTATGAAAAAAGTCAATGCAAGAATCACAGACTAAGTGATTACTCAGCAGCAACTGCCCAGCTTAGAGCATCTACCGTGCTTGCCAATTCAAAAATAAAACAAAACAAGCAAAAAAAATTCAGAATTTACATTGTAAGGCATTAGAGTTGTACAAGCATAAGGCACTACATTTTTAAATCTTCCACAGAACACCACATAAAAGCATTCAACTACGCTGTTAAGAAATTTAGAGAGGTGAAATATGTATCAGTAGGAGAATATACCACTCAATCAAAATAAATAAGCCTGTATTTCAAACCTTAAATGACCTTAAACTCCTCTAAACTGTTGAAAACCAATTCACAGGGAGAGAATGCCCTTTTTTTTTTAATACTAATTTGCATTTGCAGAACAATACTCCAGTGAAAAGCGATCTTACCAGTGAGCATTCCAATAATAAAGCATCTTCTATTTTTTCTGATTTAGGAGACTTTGGCTTTTGGTAAAGTATTCTTGGCTCTTGTGCAATGCTGGAAAAAAAAAAAAAGATTGCTTATAGTTAATCTACTTTATGAACTACTTCCATACGCTTTTATGAATCTTCTCCTTAGGAAGGTCACAACTCTAAAACAGCTTGTTTTTACTTTTACAAGTATCACCCAAAACTGGTCTCAAAATACAGCGTAATAAATAATGATTAATATAAAATAATATTTAAAAGACAAACTTTTCTGTCTTGGGGGTCATTTTTGAAATGGAAGTCTTTAGAGTAACATTCTTACTTTAATGATATGAATTCTTACTTTAATGATATGAAATGCTTCTTGTCTCACCAGAGAGAGGGGCAAGAAGTGGTTTGGGCTGAGCCCTGCCTGCGCTGCCCCCAAGCTCCGTTACTGCAGCTCAGTGTGGAGCAGGAGAGGGCAGAGACCTGACTTGTACATGAGACACAGGAACTGCGAGCACTCTGCAAACTGCACCTTTAAGTGAACAGTAATTTGTTCTAATGCAGAATTTATAAACTGATTTTGTGACATGTTCTTTAGGACCACAGTGGAAATAACTGCTGGTCACTCTGCCTTTCAGTAGAAATCCTACAATGCTGACAGTAATTAAACATAGACTTATGCAACTGCTTATTTTCTGGTTCACACAAGACTTGTGGAGTCTTGGATGAGTAAAGTTAGTCACACGTCTAGATCAGAATTAAACTATAAGCCCATTACCTGCTAATACAGCACCGGTAATTGTCAAAGTAAATTCTTCCTCTTTCATAAGCAATAGGAGATGTAGAATGAGTTGTCCAAACATTCTTGAATTTAGTACTTTCCTGAAACAGATAGTGACTGTAACAGTGAAGGCTTTAGAACAAACCACGCTTTTGGAAAATATTTCATTTAGCTCCTGCACCTTCATAATTTACTGTAGTTGAATTTACGCTGCTGAATACATACGGGTATTGAAAACTAAAATGAAATAAGATGTTGGATTTGCAGGGGTTAGGAGCACCCCCGGGCTCCTCCCGCGGGGCGGGCTCCGAGCTCGGCCTGCCCGCCATTACCTGGCACACGATGCTCCGCAGCAGCCCCATGTTGGCCCTGTGCGCCACTCCGGCGTCTCTGGCGTAGAAGCCGCGCGCCCTGCTGCTGAGGAGGCGGCAGGCGTTGCGCGGCGCCATGCCCGGCTGCGCGGGGCCGCTCCGCCGGCCGGGCACGGTAGTTCCGGGAGCTTCGCGCCCCGCCCGGGGGCCGGGCCGCGCCGGCGGGGCGGGCTGCGGGCCGCATGGCCGCCCGCGAGCGCGCGGCGGGAGCGGCCGAGGGCGCTCCGCGCGCCACACGTGGGAATGTAAGTGCTCCAGCTCGGGTTCCCTCCGCAAAAGCGGGGGAGCCACCGCTCGCTGCTGTAGGGATAGCGGAGCTTAAAAAAGAACTTAAACGGGCGGTTCATTCTTCCTTTTTTCCCGCTTCCCGATGAGCAGTAGGCGCCTCCCGGCAGCTTGAGGGGGCTCGAGCCCCCGCGCTGGGCTGCAGCGGCCTCCCTGGCGCCGGGGGCGGCCGTTGGTCTTCCTGACTCCCTGCAGGGTTAGGCCGAGCCTGCCGGGCTCTTGCTGTGCGGTGGGTGCGTGGCTGGGGGTGGTACCGCTGTGTGGGGGAGCTGCTTCGTGTCTGCACGGCTGGTTCCTGCGTGTAAAACCCTGAGCTTTCGGTCGCAGGCGATGCTCAGCTGCACAGTTGTGGTTAGCAGTGATTGTGGCGACTGTTGGGTTGGACTGAACGTGCAGGGGCATGTGCATGGGATTTGAAATAACTTTTAAGCTGCGCCTCAGTGAAGTCCATTTAGACTTAACAGAGTCTTGTAGAAATGTACAGAACCTCTGAAGAGGTTCTTCAGAGTAAATAATGGTCCTTGTAAAATACGTGTTGCCATCTCTGTTCTAAGCACCCTTTAAGATCATTAAAAAAAAAAAAAAAAAGACAAATCATTATCTGTCAGTTAGTCTAGTTATATGTCCAGTACTTTGTAGAAGCTATAGCTGAAAAGCAGTTTCAGTGACTGAAAGAAGAGATTTAAATGTAGCTTCATGGTATATATACATAAATTCAACTTTTTTTCTTTTTTTTTTTCCTCCTCCCTACCAAAGCAGCAACCAGCAGAGGGTGCACAGGTTCGCTAGGAACCCTCATTCCTGAGCTGTGTTTAGCGTAGATGGCTTCCTCTTGATGCTGAACTGGTGAGCAGATTATTTTGTTGAGTCAGTTCCGTGTTACGTTCTACTGTATAAATAACTGAAAGGGAAGTGAAGTGCCTCATGGGAGAAAAAGAAAAAAAAAAGGATAAAAAAGGTGGGGGAAAGTTAAGAATTCCTTTTATTTTGAGTGGATCGCACAGAATCTTTATGTATTTAATTTTTATGTCTGTCAGATAATCCTTGTTAAGTAAGGGGACAATTTGTCTGTTAAGTTAAACAAAGGCGTTTAGGTGTTTGCCGGATTATGACCTAAGGCATTTTCTGTGAATTTCACTTTTTATATTACTGTGTATTATTTAGGATTTTTATACAAAGTGAACAGTATCTTTCTAATTTCCATTTTCAATTTTTTGTAGTTCATAGTATTTATAAGTGCAGCTTCCGATTATACTGCCAGCACAAAAGTGAAAATTTCGTTACAAGATGGAGTTTAGGCTATCAAAATATAGTTTTAACTTCAGTTGGCTTGGAAGTTGAAATCATGATATTTTTCACAAGTATGTTGAACTTGACTAAACGCCTGAAACTCCATTATAAAATTAAAATACCCTTTGATAGTAAGGACAGTAATAATTGTCCACGGTAGCATTCTGTTTGCTTTCTTGCTTTCAGAAGTGATTATATAGTATGTACATGAATTATTTTGTTCCAAAGAATGTTTCTCGAATTAAATTCATCTTCTGCATATATAACTCCAGTAGATGTTCTCAGTAAATGGGTAGTCTTATTGGATTTATTTTCTTCTTCTTGATTTGAAAGTTATGGTCAAAGGAATACAAAAAGCTTTTTAATGATCTACCTGAAAAGTGGTGTTAAGAACAGAGTCTTTTTACTCCATGTTTCTGTATTAGTTTAGAATCGCATTTGTTGCTTTCATATATTAACACTAGTCAAAAAGCAACCTTTTTTTTAACTAAGGAGTCATAATAATAAAATACTCTGCCCTTATTAATCAAAATTTATATATTGTTTGTTTCGTTTTTCTTTCACTGTTGGTAGTCAGAGTCATGTAGTTAAGTTTTACTAAGGTCACTGTGTGTCTCGCAGAAGGCCCTGTCATTCCCAGGGATAATGCATCCTGTAGGAAAAACAGTTTGGAGTTGTAGATATGCTGGGTTTGAAAAGCTGTGCAGTATCTCATACTTGAAAAAAAAAATAGGTGCACTTTAGAAACAACATAATTGGAAGACTAATCATGAAGCCTCAGGAGGGCACATTTATTCACTTTGTAAAATATAGTAACATTTTAATAGCATTTTAAGCCTTCAGCTTGTCTTTCTGTAAATGTTATATTAGGTGTTCTCAAAGAAGACTTTCGTGCCAAGCTCCGCATAGTCTAATGCATAGGGAAATGCTCCTGGAAAACTCTGAAGTTTCCCAGAGCTCATATGCTGCCTCTCATGTGGTTTTCCACCATTTCTACTTCCCTCTTCCAAATTCCTATGCTACTTTGTTGCATAAGATGCAAACCCCTTAATTTCTTCCCAGATCATCTGTATTATTTTCTAGTTTCTTGACTTGATTTTCTTAACTATTATTCAGCTGTATCAGTTCTGTGGAGAAAATGTTATCTTTATTTTCTAGAGTGTTTAAAGACTTCTTTCAGTTGCCTGCTCTGTGGATGAGGCCCAGAAAGGGCGTGTATTTCTTCTCTTCCTGCTTCTTCCACTATATCATTTTGTTACTCGATTTGGGTTATTCTTGGGTTATATCTAGATTTCAAATATTAGTATAAGTGTATTTTTAAAATATACACAGATAACTCATAACTACCTTTTTTTGTATTGTCTTTTTTTTAAGGTTGTTTTTTTACTGTGTGTTTATGATTGTTCTTTGACCTTGTGCATCTGTTTTTTGTAGCTAAGGCGTTCAGAGTTTTGGTGATATTCAGTGGTAATAAAAGCAATCAATATATGTTTTACAGGAGAGCCCTGGAAAATAACTGGCAAATGTGTAGATAAGCTTCCCAGTACTAAATAGGGGAATTAATTGCATGAAGTTCATTGTTTTCAGAATATTTCTCAACAACTTGTAGAGTTAGCCTTCATGGCTGCAGGATGGGAGGAGCTGCTAACTTTGTTGTCAGAAATCCGTGAAATGTCCACACGTTTTCACCCAAGAAGCTCACAGGAACTACATTCTCAGTCAAAAATGACCTTTTTTTTTTTCTGACATTTGTTTCCGAACTGTACTTCCCAAACATTTTTGTGCATCACTGGATTACAAAATATTTTAGTGCATAATTTACTATTTAAGAACAAGATTAGAACAATCATTTTCTCTTACGTCTTTAATTTTTCTTTATGGAGATCCTTTGAAGATTTCATTGCTGATATCAATTACAAAAAGTATTATTGCTGATCTAGGTGACAGTTAATGTGTTAAACCTTGTTTTTGTGTGCCCACCTTCACCAAACTGCACTAATGGTGTGAAGATAGATTGCTAGGGGAGGGGAGGTGCTTGTTAAGGCTACTTTCTGTAAAATTCCCAACTAAAGCTGAGGATCTGATCTGTTTTTGTAAAAATGGCCAAGTTCAAAAGGCCAAAATGCAGCCCTCTATAGAGGGAAAAAAATCTATTTGACTTTTGAGCATCACTAGTGAGTGGGTTGTTTCTCTTGTTCTATTTCCTTATTTTTTTCCTGAAAAATGGTTCTAATTCTTTCAGGGGACAATATTCCTTGTTGTCATTTCTTGAAGATATGATCATCTAATCTGACAAAGAGAAAGGGTGGTTACTTTTTTCATTAACAAAATTAACAAGGGAACAATGACTCACTTCTTAAAATATCGTTTCAGCTTCTCAGTTGCTTAGGTGTTTTATGAACTGTTGGTAGCCAGATTGCCCATTCATCTCATGATCTGTGGATCTCTCTGGCTCTCAGGGATGTGTGCAGGTCTCCAGGGAGATCCCTTACGACAAACACTCAACACAACGGGAAAATTAATTCCCCACCCACCCCACTATCCTTGCATTATCTTGATGTGTCAAGATTTAGCATCTAAACTTGTGCAATTACCATTGAAAAGGTCATATTGTCAGAAGAGCAGCTCCATCTTTGGATTCTTACTGATGCCAGATCATCTTAGGCATCTGACTGTATTTCCCATCTGTGCATCTTTTTATGTTCTTACTGAGATATACAGAAAGCCAACCAGAATTATTTGACTAGCCTAGTAGCTGAATCATTGTATTTTATGTTGAATATTAGTGCAGGTACAGAAAATGCAGCATCTTAACTCATGTCTTTAGGAAGCAAATTTGTAAACAGTTTGCAATGTGGTCATGGATTTCTTTTATCCAGGCATTTCAATAATTTAATAATATTTTATGATCATGGTTTTCTTTTTGTGTGTGTTTGTGTGTGTTTGAGAATGATCTTTTGTCTTTGTGTAAATCACACAGTTTGCAGAAATTGCTCAGGTGTATTAATTTTTATGCCTCATAGCTATTACTTGATAGTATTCCATATACTCTAATAATTATGCATTATTTTATGAATAGTAATGTATGTATATTTTCAGAAAGAGAGTATGGATGGTTTATAATAACTCTAAAAAAATTACTTGTAAACTGGTATTATTTTAGTTGTTCAACTACATTAAAAAAAGAGCTGTAATAAACTTGTTAAAAATAGAAATGCTTAAAATAGTTTTTTTTTAAATGAGACTAAGTGCTACATTTTCTCTATAATGTGAAGCCCCATAACCCAGTAATATGATGCAGTCCCGGGAGATGAAAAGTAACATGATTCATATTTAGTACTGACAGCCAAAAGGCAGAAAAAAAATCATTGACAAATAGAGGAAATAGAAAAGTTATTATTTGAATTTTTTTCTCTCATTTTTTTCTTCCTTTGTGGGCTTACAATGAATAAACAACGGCCTTTTAAAAAACATGACTCATTCAAAAGTACACGTTAAATGAGGAATTGTTCGGTTAATTGAAGCAATTCCTTTGCCAGATTTTGTACTGATGTGTATAGATTAATCTTTTTTTATTCGCAGTACAAGGCTTATGATCAAGTAGTACTATTTTTCTCAAGAAAAAAACCCCTTCATTTTGTAGCCAATTTGCACAGAATGTTTTTTTAATAATGTCAGTATTTATACTGTGTGATTTCTCTTTAAACATATTTTGTATTTCCAATATATTTTATTTGTATGCATGCTTTATACAGAAGAAGCAATCTAAAAGTGATTTTTATTTTTTTTTTATTTTTTTTTTTTTTTAAGTCTTGTGCAGAACACTTGGAGGAAAAAAGAACAAAGGCACATCAGAGTAAAAGTAGTAGGTGGAGTATTTTATTTTATTCATCTGCTAGAAAGCCTATATGAACAAGAATATGCCAAAGAAACCAACAAGACAAAATGCTGGTAGTAGATATACACACTTGTTATTGTTCATTATTAATACTGTATGAAGAGACTCCAAAAAATACAACAATATAAGAAAGAATCATACATATAATAGAAAAATCTAAAGCACTTTCTAATTATTGTGAATATGAATGTAATGTTTTAAATCATTCCTTATCAAAGGAAAAACTAAACAGGGATTCCAACAGTACTTAGTAGAAGTTTTGGGATGACTTGTCATGCATAATTTTTACAAATGCTTGTTTGGATCTTTCATTTCCTATATAAAAGCACAAAACCACAGTCAAAACTCCAGAATTAAATCTTTGGAAGACTGTAACCTTCAGAGGTGGGGTGAAAAATGTCAAGCCCAATGACAGCATGTTCCTGCTAGAACAAGTGGTTTCTTTACTGATTGCTTTTTGCTTGTCTTTTTAAAGGTACAAGGTCGAATTTGTTTTATTGTTTTATTTATTTTTTCACTGCCTGATAGAACTCTGAAACTGCACCAGAAAAATGGTTTATCTTTCAGATGCTCTTTTTGCAGTAGCCTACTTTTGGCTTATTTGGGCTTTCAGCACACTCAGGGGACATTGCTATTTGAAAAGAAACAGAGCATTTGAATTGATATTATAGTTAAAGATTATTCTTAAAGTTGATATTGGTGCTTAACTATTTGACCAGTTTCTCGTTTAAGTGACATAAACAATTATGTTACCACAAAACTGTAATTTGCTTTAATTGTGTTTTGTAGGTCTCTGAACAAAATGAATTTCATTACAAAGTTTTCTGCTTTATGTCTGAGGAAAAACAAGATGCAGCAGAGGTACAGGAGTAGTAGACGACCAGCTGTTCCACTTGGATCACGGATTTTGACTGATTCTTCCAAGGTTTTTGAGCATAACATGTGGTAAGATAGCTGTTAAGGTGGATTTACACACACACGCGCGCGTGCACGCACACACACATATGTCTAGCACTGTCTTCTCACACACGTGTGTACGTGTACCTATGTGTGTGTGTGTCTGTCAAGGTAGTGCTAGGGAGAACATGAGACCGTCAGAACTGACCTGACGGTAATGGAGCTGTCAGTGACTTGCATAAAGACCAAACTCCTGTAAGCTTTTTGTTCAAGGAAGCTGGAAGATAAATGGTAATTGTATTTGAGTGTAAAGTGTCTTTGTTCTATAAATCTTTATTTAGTGTAGTGTCTGAGCATCTTGCAGACTTAGTACCTTCTGTTAATKGRAAARGKTTTTTTTTTTTTTTTTTTTKTWAAAGCTGATTCAAAWGTAGACTATTTTTTAGATAGAAATAGGTTTTAAGAATAAGGCCACCCTTTTTCTGTAACATTATGCCTCAGCAAAACTCAGTTTTGTTTCATTTTTTTATATTTTCTTCCAAATAGCTGCTGATGTATAGCTTCAGTTTTTCCTGCTTTCAGGACCATCTAATATGGAGTTCTCAAACTGTGATAGACGTGTCTGGGTGGATTGTGGTGTGAGGAGGGGACGTACAAAGGTCTGTTGGGAACAGCATTGTTCAGGCAGTGACCTGTAGGTGAATCCATAGGGCTGATAGATCAAGAACAAGGCTTTGAAACTGGGTGGGGCTGCTTGGATCTGAAGCTGGCTGATGCATCAGAGTTCTCCTTTGGGAGATAGGAGAATCAGCGTGAGCAGCAGTTGAACTCAATAGGTCACCCTACATGAATAGGGTGAATAGATACCCTACATGATCTATTCATGTAGAGTAGGCATAAGGGACAGATCTTCCGCAGTATTCTATGTGAGGATTACTACATCCTCCTGTTTTCCATTCATTTTGTTAAGTATTTTATAAAATGACACTCATCTTTTGACGGGGAACCAGGAGCCTCCGCCATGGCTACTAGGAGTACTAGTAAAAAATTAAATTTGGGTACTAAGCTTTAGATATTCGCCATGGTATTTTTCTGTCATTCAGAGCGAGAATAATCTGAATATTGGAGCAAAAAGTTTCTTCTTCCATTCAGGTTAGTAATTGGCTTAGTCTTCATGTGTTAGAGGCTCGGCGATAATTAGACCTTATGTTGGCAAACAGACTAATGGAAAAGAGAGAACCTGAGCAAGCTGAAATGAAAGTAGCACTGTCTAATCTTATGTCAGGTCAACTCATGTTAGCAGTTTCTGATGTGGTTAAAATGGAGACATTGCTTTGCCACTTTCAAAGTTCAGCTTAAAACACTTCTAAATTTAAACACTTCCATGCTTAAAGTTATTCTGTATTTATGCTAGTTTACAACGCTGAAGGAGCTCTCATTTTAAGCACTGAAGCTATTTAAATAGTTTATTAGAACTACGCTGTTTCCACTTGCTCACAGATTTTGGTCAAGACTTGATGCTGCTACTGCCCCATTGTTGCTTGTGATGTCTGTCATATAGATGTTCTAGGAAAGAGCCAAAGATATTTCCTCAGCAACAGAAAAAAACTTGGAAAGACAAAAAGAAAAAAAGAATTTTTAATTAAGATGGAGAACCTCAGACACATACAATAATGTATGTCCAGTACATAAGAGTTCTACCAGACACATGATGATGTGTTAAAATTCATCAAGCATGCAAGCATGCAGTGAGCCCTTCTGACAGATACTATGGGCCTCTGACTAGTCCTTGGTTTCAACTTGCTAGAATGGGCAAGGTCAAAAATTCAATGAGGGAAGCAAGTTTTTCCAAGAGGGTGGCTTCAGTGGCTCAGTTCTGTTCTGCTACAGCACATCATGAGAGCCTTAATGCTGCACAGGAGTACTCTGTATATGAACAAATAGAGAAAAGAAAAAAGGAAACCTTCACAGGATAACAATGAGAAATATTTCAGTAGAAATGAGAAAATCTGAGGCAAAAAGGAGGAAACACAAGGAAGTCTGAGGCAAGCAGACAAATACATGCCAATTAGTCTACCACAATTAACCAAGAGAAGCACTCAAGGCCTAAGCTACCTTTTTGTCAGCAAGAATAGAATGAGAAGATGCTAGATAAATTGTGGACACCATCAGCCCTTTTCAAGTTATTATATTGTTCCCTTTCCCACTGAAATCTGTGGGATTTTGGTCATAGGTTTTCAGTAAAATGATTTAATTAACATTAGGGTCTAATAGATTGCTTGAATTCTGTTGTCTGACTTCATAGCTTTTCAGTCTTTAGCCTGAAAGATTTTGCGGCATCTTGGGCAGCTGCTTCATTTCAAAAAGCTGCCAGGACATTTTGGGGCACTCCTCATTGTGACCTGATGCAAACACAGAATCTGCAGGGAATGCAGGAGCTAGGCCATTAGGATGAGGTCTTGGCTTGATTCTGTGTATATTTAATGAATTAATATAATGTTAAGTGAATGACTTCACACAAATGCATAGCATAGACTCTGGAACCATCATAGCAGTGCTTGTTTTTTCTTACAGATGTCTTGTTCTCCGTTTTTCAATAGAATCCTCTTTCTGTTCCCTGAATAGGTAAAATCTTGTTCCAGCAATTCCGCTTACTCTGCTTGAATAGGTGGAGTAGGTTCTGTTTCATGAATAGCTGATTACCTAGCTAAGTGACCTTTGTTCCTCCTACCATAAACATTACTAATATGAGAGGCTTCTTGCATCAGATCTTTGCTAATAGGTCTATATCCAAGTCAAGTACAAATCTAATGGGAGACTTGAAACACACTCCTATAAACCCTGTATCCTATATAGTAATTCCATTCTTAAGACAAAGGTGCCTACCACTTCAGCCCCTTTGTAGATGGAAAGTTTTTCTTGGTTGTTTCACTTGAGTTTTATCAATGTAATTTGTTTTTATCTGTAATAGACTGAAGTCTGTTTTTAACTGCCAGTCTCCTTGTGGTCATTTGTTTGCACTACAAACAATAGAAGTATTTGAAACATAGGAATAACAATTTTTGAAATCTTGACTCCTGCCATAGTGGCTGTTTGCAGATCATAGCTAAATATTTTATTAAGTTAACACTATAGCACTGTTTTCTATGATACTGATTCCAAATAGATAAACAAGCATAGGCACTGCAAAACATCTCGCTAACCCCTGCCTATCATGAAATTGTTGAGTGAGTTCAAAGGAAGTATGGTTCTATTTGACACATTTCAGGTTATCTAATACCAAATACTGTGACTGTCAGCTCAGTGGAAAAGCTAAGCCAATGCAATGTTTTTGCTGGAATATACTATATATTGCATTACTTGAACAAAATGGATTTCTTTCATATAGTTAGAAAATGAAGGCTAATATGAGAAAACAAAGAAATGATACTACATTTTTTGTCACTGCTAAAGTGATGAATTATTGAGCAAAAGGAAGTCTAGAGAGTATCTCAAAGGAAAAAAAAAAGATGGTGTACAATGGAGTTAGTGAAAATAATCAGCTAAGATTGTTGGCTAGGAGAACTGTCTGTCAGCATAGTGGCAGTTGGAGGTAAGAGGAAAGCAAAAAGAAAAAAAAATCTTTTTTTTTTTTTTTTTTTTTTTTAGATTGAATCTGTTGGAGTTCCAGATTTCCTTGGGTTTGGGCTCAACTGAATGAGCATCTTGCATCAGCATGTAGTTTTGTAATATTGGAATAAACAACGTAGCTAATTTGAGACTGCTCTCTTGCGCCCCACCCCTCAAAAAAAAAAAAAAAAAAGTATTTAAAGGCATATTCTTCAACTACCTTTTTGCAGGGACCACATGCACTGGTCACAAGAAGAGGAGCAGCATGCCAAGGACAAAGCAGCGGAGAATTCGCTTGTTAAAGTCCAATTAGAAGACCAAGGTAACAAATTGCATAATGGTTTAAAAATTCCTATTTTAACAACAGGTATTAAAGCATTTGAAGATACTTTAAAAGTTCAACAGCATTCCTTTCATTTTAAATGTTTCATACTAGATCTATCTTTTGTAATTTTCTTTGTTATCTGAGAGGTTTGTTACAAAGTGCATTTTGCTTGCAATTCACTTAATGGAGCAATTTTGTCTTTTTTTGGGGCGCAACAGGCTTTAGGTAAGATAATGAAGTCGGCATGTTGAGATTGCCAGTTCTGTCCCTCATTTTGCAGTATTGCAGAATAAACCTTCCATCACACAGACTGTTACCTTCACCAAAAGGAGTGAATTCACAGGCAGGTGAATTCGGATCTAAAGTTCCCCTATACAATATGCAAATACTTTGCAAGAAATCTGCCCTGTTCAGAGGGCTAGTGTTTCTACATAATACCATATTTCAGGTAGGTACCATAAAAGTTATGTTACTGGTTCCTGCTTGGTGCTTTGGGCAGCTGAAAGTACTTCAGGATGCAACGTGCCCACTTCATGTGGAAGGTGTTCCCATGCATCGTGCAGAGTCCACTCTATAAATGACTAAGGAATTTCATGCTTCTCCGTAGAGGGGAAACTTCCATTTTATTTTCTGTTTCTGTAGAATGATAGCTTTAGGTTCAAACTGGCGTATTAAACTCCAGACCAAATCTTTTTGTCAAAACTGGAGTACTAAGTTGATTGTAACATTTTAAAAAGTGGATTTTTATTTTCTTTTGTTAGATAGACATTCTGAAGATAATTATTTTGTGTGGCCTTGCCATCAGTTTACTTGGTGTGTCTCGAAGCTGTCAAATTGGATAGTTTCTTGATGACTCTCTGTTCAGTTTAATTGATACAACTAGGGTGCCTGCTGGACTGTATTTGAAAGATACCTCTGAAGGTATCTTGGATTGTGTGCCCTTCTTCAGTTTGGATGCCCTGGAGACCTCTTTTTTCCTAACACCTACTTCTTTGTGTGCTTTAGTACAGCAAATAGACAATCTCTTTGGAAGATAGCTGGTGAGAAGCAGTCTTTGCATACTAAGCTGAAACTGACCCTATTCTGGACCTTCCATTCATCCTGCCCTTTTATGTTCTTGTCTCTCTTTGTCTTAATCCAGGACGACAATACTTGTTTTTCAAAATTGACATCTAATATTTTCATTGTTTTTGTATGAAACAGTTGAAAATGAGCTCATGGCTGACAAGTAAGCTGTTTAACCATGCGGCTCAAGGAACCTTTTCCTCTTCATCTACAGTCAATTAGAACGTAGTTCATGCTTGTTAGAAATGAAATAATCAAGCTTTTGTCTATTACCAAGACATACAAGAATCCAAAGACATTTCCCATGAATGCGTCTCTGTTTAAAGCTTGAATAGGTGAGCACTGCTGACATTATTCCTTCAAATAGCTTCAGCTTCATTCTCCAAGTGGAAGTACATTTTGGTCTATTTGTGTTCACAATGAACTAGACTGAGGCTAATGAGCAGATTATTTTGGGGCCTTAGAAATTACAATAAAAAGGAGAAAAAAGATTTCCATAATACTATGATATCACTAAAACAGAGTAGTTCTGGTCAGCCTCAGTAAAACAGAAGTAAAACCGAATCAACTTCTGATACTAATTTTATGTACTTGAAATACTTATTAATGTGTCCTGTTTTTTTCTCAGACATGACAACTGGTGTAGTATCAAATACATATCATAACAAACTCTATTAAGAAAATTAAAAAAAAAAAAGGACCAAGTAAAAGATTGCTTTTACTTCAGAAGGGCACATTCATCAATTCTTTAGAAAATTCAGTTGTCAAGCAGCTTTTTAAAATGAAATGAGCAAACCTCCCCTCTCCTTCAGCAAACCCCAGGTGCCAAGAGTATAACTGTCCACCCCATTTTAGGAAACTTTTGGAGACTAACAAAATAAGACTACAGAGTTGTTGAATTTGGCAAGTAATATTTAACCTTATCTTCTAATGAATTCAGAAAATAACTATTAGTAAAGTCTTTTCTTTACTAAGTACTAGTACTAAGTACTGAAGACTTTAGTCATTACTTTCGTTTATTAAATCCATTCTGAAATCTAGAAAACATGCTGGGAATTTAAATACAGAGTTCTGAACAAACCTGTAGAAAAAATAGTAACTATAGCAAGGGGTGATGATGATTTATGAATCTTTTGAGTAAAAGATTTATTTTTATCTTTGAGCTGAGCAATCTCTATAAATATGCAACATAAGACTACTGAAGTCTTATATAGATGACCTCAATTAACTCTTCACTTACACTGTGAAATAGCTCTGTACAGTTATTCAACATGCCTGAGTTTTGTCCTTTAGTAATACAATAGAATGCATTAAATGTTAAATTTTAAAAATTACTCAGATTTTTAAGACAAAGCATGCTTCCACTTCCTTGCCAGTTCCCACTACTTATCACTGTGTCTTATCTCAGAATTATCTTTTGAAAACAGTAGCAATTTAGAAACAAGTGCATTAAGATTTAAGTGAGCATAATAAGTGAATATATGTACTGTATTTTTAAAGAGTACCTAAACAAATAATATGAGTAGATAGGGGCAGAATCAAAAAGATATTACATTTTAGGAGGTAAAGCTGGCAGGAGATGTCAAGGGTAACAAGAAATACTTCTGTAAAAGCTTTGGGAATGAGAGAAAAACAAGAAAAAGATTTGTTCTCTCTTAGCAGGAGAGACGAAAAAGGGCAAATTCTCAACAGATGAGATGCTGAAAAAGCTGAAATTCTTACGTTTTTATCAGTCTCCCTTTGTAGGGGGTAGATGCAGTCTAGTGGCTAGCGCTGTTAGTGCGGGTGAGAAGATGACTTATTCATTAGCGAGAAAGCACAGGTTACAAAGCACATCCGTAGGTATATGGATGACCAAAATTACTTTTTTTTTTTTTTTTTTTTTTTTAATAGGAAACAGACAGAGAAGAGTTAGAGAATTACAGTTTTAAATCCTGGAAAAATACTGGAAGAAATAATCAAGTGCTTGCAGACACTGGGTTTGGAAAAACAAGGGAGATGAATACTGGCCAACAAATATTTTTCAAGAATAAATCATATAAAATCAGGCTAATTTCATTCTTGGAGAAGATTGTGAGCCCTGAAGATAAGGAAAAAACAGCAGATGTTCTAAAACTGCTCCTTAATTAGGCTTTCAACTGGGTTTTACTTGATATCATATAAGCAAGTTAGATGAGAAAGGTCTAATGAAACTACTGCTGAGTGAATGAATGCTAGAGAGTTTCTTTCAGAATGGAAGGTGGTACGGGCAGAACACCATTTTGTTTGGTATCCAGTGCTGTTTGGTATTTTCATTAGTGAATTCAAGAATGGGAAACTTGAAGACGATAATAAGTGAAGAGGTGTTTCGAGCATGGTGAGAGTATTAGAACTGAGAAAGACCTTGACAAATTGGAATAATGAGATGAAAGAAATGGAATCAAATTTGCTGATGATAAGTGCAAAACACTTCGCTTAGGAATAATTTCCTGGGAAAAAAAATACTGGGTTACTGGGTTCTGGAACAATTGGTTAGGTATTAGTTTTGCAGAAGATCTGAGGGTTTGGTGAATCACCATCTGAATCAGCAGTGTCATGCTGTTGCAAAATGGCAAGCCAAGATGTATGAAAAGGATTACAGCCTGTAAGACTCATTAAATATTCCTTTTGCTCTGTGTTGATAATGTCTTTTCCTGAAGTACAGCACCAAGAAGTGTATCAATTGGAATTTAGAAAAGAAAAAAATGATCAGAACTCTTAGAATCATGGTTTCTAGGTGTAGGTATGTGTGCAAGACTTAGAAAATCTAGAAAAGAGATTGTTTAGGGAGAACATAATGAAAGTCTTCAAATAAATAGCTTTTGCAAAAAGAAGGGATTAATCTTTTCTCTATCTGCTCTGTTAATGGGACAAGAATGGAAAAAAATCAGGTTGAGTAATGGAAAAAAGTTTCTAACTGTATAGGTGGTAAAAGACTGGAATATATTACAGAAGGAAGTTGTCCAACCTCCATCAGTGGAGGTGTTAAACTTCTAGGTTAAAAGAAAACAGGTTAAACGAACTTTTAGGTGAAAGCATTGTGAATTCTTTGACTTAATCAAGTCAAAGTCCTTCCCAGTGCCTTTTTTTTATTCCATAGGAATATATCTTATGAATTAAAAGTTACACAAAGGTCCATTATAAAACTTTTTTGAAGTTTTTAAACTTCAATAAGGAAGCCATTCTATAGTTTCTGAATTGTTATTGCTTTTTTGTTATTTTCTGTCAAAAGGGGGTTTTTGAATGGATGTGAATTTTTTTTTTTTTCTTATTGGCTATGCAATAGCATTGATCAGTTCAAGGAAACAGATTTATAACTGATGTTTCTAGAAAGATGGATGTTGCTGTCAGATTTTCAGTTGCTCACGTAGTTTCATAAATCATGGAATAAATTTCAATTCAGTATTTCTTAAATTGGAAAAATCATGGAAAATATGTAATTGAAAAGAGCCATTGGTTTTATAATTTGGGATGTGAAAAATGGTCTAAGAAACTCATGACTACATGTTCTAGTGATAGTGATGCTGTCTTATTATGTCACTGTATGCCAGCAGAATTGATGATGCAGAAAGGCCATCCGTCCCATCCTGTAATAAAATCTAATTAAACTGTCATAGAGTTTTTGATGAAACCCAAAATACCCAGAATCTGTGTGTTTTTATTTAAAGATGTGGAATATGGGAAGCACACTTCTTAAACTGTAGGTTTGGGGTCCGAATTCTATGGTGTTTACATTATTATGCAGTTAAGCTCATATTAACCCCATTTTTGTTTTGTTTTTCATTTCAGATAAATATGAGAGAGAAGCCAGTAAATATTGGAATGAATTTTATAAGACTCATAAGAATAACTTTTTCAAGGATCGCAATTGGTTGTTTCTGGAGTTCCCAGAAATTCTTCCAGAAAATAAGAGAGAACAGTTGAAAACAGAGGAAAAATCTTCAGAACCCATAAAAATAAATATTACTAGCAGTTTTCTTCACAAGGATTTTCCTGGAACATTTGAGAAAGGAAAAGAATACTTGGGGAATAATTATGGGGAACACTCTACTTCTGTGCAACGACAAAAATATAGCAGAAAACAAGCAAAATCTGTTACTCTGAATCCTCAGGGTAAAGACTGTAGAGAAAAACTTGGCAAGCTAGAATCCTTTCCTGGTAGTGGTGCTGCTTATAGAGTGTTAGAGGTAATGCACTCCAAACATGCCTCCTATGATTTACAACTCTACGAAATTTCTCAAAAATATTGATAAAGATGCTTAATGACTATCTAGAATGTAAACATTCAGAAATTTAAGTACTACATTCATTAAGGCAATATCTTTCAGAAGAACGTAGGATCTAGGTTTTGTTTCTCCTTTAGATTTTCTTCCAATTTAGGATCTGGGATGTCTATATTCCATTGAAAGTCACTAGATACTGAGTTTTTAAATGCCTAGTGAAAGTTCTTGCTTAAAACGCTTTGTTCTCCATAGTCAACACGTTCTTGCCAGATAGTGAAATTACACAAGAATATTGTTTTTTCCTATGCAATTGTTCATCAGAGCTGTGTTCTTTCGTAGCATTGGAAAGATATTGAGGGGAAATTTAGTCATAGGAGGAGTGATATGAGCATTTTTGCATAAGCAATTTTTTCCTTTCCTGTCCAAGATATCTTCAAGTCTTAAATTACTTGGTAAGCAGGATCTTTAAGACAACAAAAAATTAAAATATGATGCTTTATTTGCTTATTTATTTTAACTTTCTCTTTCTCTTTCAATACTAGGTTGGTTGTGGTGCTGGAAATAGTGTCTTTCCTATTTTGAAAGTTCTATGGTAGGTAGTGTCAGATTTTCAAATACAAAAGTTGCCTTCTTCCATATCTTCTTCAAATCTTGGTGCTAGACCGAGGAGGGTTGCCTGGACTTCTTTAGAGTCCTGAATTTCTGATTGATTCCAGACCACACACACACACAAAAACAAAAAACAAAAAAAAACCAACCAAACAACAACAAAAAAAAACCTGCAGGTAGTGCCTTTACAATATATTCCTTACACTGTTCAGCTCTAGACTTGAGGTGACCATGTGTGCTGAAGAAGTATATTTGTTTTCAGAATGAAATTGACTTTTGGTAGTTAATCTCAGGTAAGTTAAATTTCCTTGTCCTTTGTCTCATGTCTCCAAACAGTTACCAGGTATTGTTTCTTCAAGGGACCAAAATCAAAGACAGTAAATAATGGCACATGATTACTGGCAAGAAGTTTTATTTCAAATTTGACTAATATACTTTGTCATGTTGCTTCAGGTTTTAGTGCCAAGGAAAGCACAAGCCCTGTACTGCATTACTTAATTCCTTGAGACAACTAATCCAGTTAGCTTCTGTTTTCAGAAAAAGGTGTTATGACAGCATACCCTTCCTGGCAGGCAGGCAGGTTTTGTTGGAAAGATGATGTGTGTATCAAGGGAGGTTGGAATAGGTTTCTTTATGCCTCCATGTATACAGTAGAGTTCTTATTGGTCAAGCACCCTGGTACCATTACTAGCATCACCAGAGTGTGAAAGTACTCCGTTTTGTGGATACACAAACGGAAACGTGTGTATACTAGGATCATACGTGAAGCCTATTACAATGCTAGCATGTCATTTTTGTCCCCAAACAGATTCTTTGCTTCAGACACATAAAAGGAAAGGGGAGCCCTATGTCCAATGAAAAGTTTGAGAAATAACTACATAATGGAATTGGAAGGATCCCAAGTGCTTCTATTGAAAAACAGAAGACAAACTTTCCTGCTGTGCCTCATGAGAGGCATTAGTCATAGGTTAGCATTTTTGATAATTAAGGATCCATTCATTTGGTATTTTACCTTGAGATCTCTATTCTTATGCAAATCTTTTAGATGATCAGATCAGTGCATTGAAAAACTGACACTTTTGTCTGATGGAAGCATCTCTTGCCTCTTAAATAATTTTTAGCACAGTTTTTTCTAGTCTGTAAAATTACCAGATTTATAAAAATTTCCTTTAGCATACATGCAAAAAGAGCCTGATTCGAGTATGGTTCCACTTTAGCTAGGAAAAAATATATACCTAGGTTTGTAACATAGTCTTAAAACACCCTCTCCTTGGAAATTGTCTGTGCTTTTTAATACAAAGCGTCATGAAATATCCATCCAGATCAAGATGTGTCTTTGTTTTAAATTGATCTTTCTCAGAGCTCCTATTCTGTTTGGAATACGAGCCTACACTCTTAACAGTCATTTGTGTGTAAGTGGCCTGATCTTTCTCAAGCATCTGACTGGGTCCAAAGCCTAGCTTCTTGTGCTCATCCCTGGTAATCTAAGACCTAAGCTCACAGACTTTCATGATAGTCACAGAGCTAATGAAATTTTTGTTCAGATATAAATACTGAAGTAGAATTTGGTCTACAACCCGAGGAATGCTCAGAGGCAGGTCACTTGTTTAGCTATGTGCGCTATGAGATATCACAGGCACTACCTTATTTCTCTCTTTTCCTTTCTAAGGAAAATTTTATCCAAAATCTCCAGTATTTTACGGGAAAGTATCTGTTCAGGAATCATGAGACTGTCCCACAGTTGGATCTTGATGTCTTTGCTCAATTTCCTTTAGAGAGGTTTTTAGGAGCTAAGAAAAGCTTCTCCACAGAGTTACTAGTGTCTGATGTACAAGGAAATTTGCAGCTGGCTTAGTCTCTTAGAATGGGAGGAGGAGAAAACAATATTCCTATCTTCCACAGAAAACCTGTATTCATCTTGGTTATAAAAGAAAGAGGATAGTAGAGGGAAACAGCCAGTACTGCTTAATCTTAATCAAAATAAGGCATGTGGCACTTGGGATCCCAAGCCTCCACAGAACTGTGTATGACCTTTTCAGCTCTGAAAAAGACAACAAAAAAGCCCCCCAAAACTCATTGCTAATTAGCCTACTTACATGGGCTAATGAAAGAGACCCAGTTCAATGCTTCTGTAAGAAAATATGACCTATTCATGTGTATTTATGTAATACAGCACTAGGACATTGCCATCAATCCTGACAGCCCTTTGTGACCTTCTTTCTTTTCCTTTCCACTTCTTGCCTGACAAGACCATAATTCTTTTTATACTAACTGCCTGTTGGTATTCTTACAAATCTGTCTGCCCTCTTGCTTCATTACAAGCTATGTGGCTTTCCAGGTGCTAGACATCAATAAGGCATGCTTGATCAAACCTGCAGAGAACCCCAAAGGGCTATGTGTACTGCCAAGACTAGTGATGTAGACTTTCATCTTTTCAATAATAATTCTTTAACTGATGTTGGTTTTGTTTTCCTAGCAATACACCTGGTACCTTTCTCTACTGTTGTGATTTTGCTTCAGGAGCAGTGGATCTGGTAAAGGTAATTCATATGCTCACTTTAGTATCTTGTAAGCCTGTAATTCAGGAGGCTGCCAGGAAGCCATCTTTATGAAAAAGAACATGATGGCTTTGACAACTTTCAACTGAAGTTTTCAGTATTCCAAAGAACAAAGTCTTACTCTGTACAAGGGAGGAATGAATACCATCAGTGAGCTTGCGTCTCAGCTTGAGCAAGATACCAGTCAGAATAGGCTTTTGTATGAAATGTTTTACAATACTCAATAATTGAAGGAAAAAAAGTTTCTTGAGTCATAGTAAACGTATTAACTACTACTGTTATCTCTGGGCCTCTTTTCATCTTTTTCCTGACAGTCACATTCGTCCTACAGTTCAGCCTGGTGTTTTGCCTTTGTTCATGATGTGTGTGATGATGCTTTACCCTATCCTTTTCCTGATGAGATCCTGGATGTCATTCTCCTTGTCTTTGTGCTCTCTGCTATTCATCCTGACAGGTAAATGAAGACTAAAGGGCAAAGCAAATAGGTTAAATCTCTTTTATCACTAAAGATTTTCAAGAATATCAAAGGAAGATGATGAATCTTTAATTTATTATTTAGTAAGATATGATGTATATAAAACAAGGTATTTTAAATGCTGTTTCCCATTTTCAGGCTAGAAAGACAAGCTGGTCAGACTACTTAATTAGGAAACCTCCTGTCTCCAAATTAAACCAATAAAATTGGTTTCTAACAAAACACATTCCTATTCAAACTGACAGTGCTTCAAGAAAATTACAAATCCAGAAACTGACTGCTAGCCCTTCAAAAGGAAATTATTCTTAGTGATCAAAAGCAAACATTCTTGTTTTAATATCTTACAATATATTGATAAAGATTTAGGTTGCTGATTAAGCCCCCCATAGATGTATATAAGATGGCCTCTTAAGCTACACAGTTCTGTGTGTGTTTTGGTTTATTTGGATTAGGAAAAGTTAATCTAATTTGCTTGCATAGTATTATGTTGAGAGCTATTAGCTTTATTACTAAATGCTTGGCAATGTCTAATGAACTAAACTTCATGGTGGTTAAAGCTAGCTAGTTTTGAAAATACACTTTTTAATGGGGAAAGTGTGAAAGACCACATGTAAATTAAACTACTTGACTCTTTCTTTAACTAGACCTTAAGAAGGGAAATGTGTTCCCTGTGTATGATAGGGCATTTATTGCTTTAAGAATATCATTAAAATGGGCTTGGCAAAGAGAGCACTATTTGCCTAAATCTGAGGCTTGTTTGCCTGCCTGCTTGCGTTATTAATGATTAGCTTTACAGAAAAAAATCTATCCCATATAGGATATTGCTCCTTCCTGTTTGTTCAGAGATGAGCGTATGAGTCATGCAATGCCTGGGTCCAGATTTAAAAAAAAARAAAAAAAAAAARAAAAAAAAAAAAAAGTAAAAAAAAAAAACAAGCAGTAGATCTCAGATCTCTGTAACTACAGTGATGCAGCCAGGAGGAAATTAGACAATAGAGACGCATTCATTGAATCCCTTTGCTGGGAGAAGCAGTAATCAGATGTTCTATCTAAACTTCTGTGGGTCTTTTTCTGTTAATTATTTGAGAATAAAAGTATTTGTCTATGTTTCTCCCTGTGTTAACAGCCAAAGGCTGACATCACTGTTTTTGCAAATACCTGTGTAGAAATACCCGTGTAATTCATTTGTGTGATAAAATCATCCAGAATTAAAATTATAAAGAAAAGTGTAATCCAGCCCCTTGTTGCTTAATATTCAAATACCGGAATTTTGGAATGAAGGATATTGGAAAAGAAAACTGAGAGTGATGGTGGCAAACTTCAAATATATGTATTTAGGAGACCTGGAAAACATGTGTAAGAGATGCGCAGCTGTGATCTGCACCACTGTTACCTAGTGGTTTCTCTTTGGGCTCCTGTGATTGGTTTTGTATCTAAAAGGTAACACACTTGTCTTCTGATAAGTCCCCTCTTAAAGTTGGTCTCAGAATTTGAAAGATATTAAACTTTCCTCATGCTTTGTGGTTAGTGTGATTTAATCCTAAAAGACCAGATTTCTCACAGCACTTCAATTTCTGTGCATTGTTTTTGCCCCAAACTTATGTTTGTGTAGGCAAAGTGTGTAGTGCTATGCATTTTCTTGACCGGTCCATTATTCTTATGTGGAACTATCTTTTTTTCTTTTGTTGCCAATATCATGCATGAAAAACAAGAGATCTCATGCTCCAAAAGTATATATTGAATAATCTCCTAATTCAGTCCCATAAACATCAAGGTAGGATGTCTGCATTGCTGTTAGATAAGTACCAAATGGGAGAAAGCTGACTAAGATGCAGGAGCTTGTTATGCAGTAATGCTGATCTTGCATATTTAAGGAGGAATTTATTTTCTCTAGTTCTTTTCAGATACAGCAGCCTACCTTACTTATCCATTAAATTACCCTCCCCCTGCTTCCACATCTCTCACTCTGCCCTTCTACTTCTCTGAGGAAGGAAGGGTTTGAACTGGGTTTGCGGTATCTCGGCTTTCCGTAGTAAAAATAAACACACATTCTCATCTTGATTTCAGAAATCTGTGTATATTCCAAACATCTAGGGGGAAAAAAATGTTAAACAGTCTTCTTTGGAAATTTCACTACTATTCCCTCTATTTTCTAAGGATGCAAAGAGTTGTAAATAGGTTGGCTAAACTACTGAAACCTGGAGGAATGTTGTTATTTCGAGATTATGGAAGATATGATATGTCTCAACTTCGTTTTAAAAAAGGTAACTACTGAATGTTTTTATATTTTACTATTTAATTTAAACTCTCTTTGAAAACATGGCTTGCCTTTTTACTCTTTTAATTTCCTAGGTCATTGCTTGTCAGAAAATTTTTATGTACGAGGAGATGGAACCAGAGTTTATTTCTTTACCAAAGGTATGAAATGATTTAGTTTTATAGAAAGTGTTGACTGTTTCCCAAGATGATTTGAGTTACAAAAGCTCATATTAAAACAGAATTTTAAAGTTTTTTTCTTCTCCTATTTTCTGCTTTTAAAAAGCCCAAAGCTCTTGTGTTTCCATTTTCAGACAATATTGTTTCTTTATCTGTCTGTCTTCACAGAATTACACAGAATTATAGAATGGTTGAGGTCAGAAAGGAGCAGCTAGAGTTACTATAAATAAATAATTTTTATTTAGTTGTTTTTTGTCTCTATTTGGCAAGACGCATTTTCCTTATAACAGCATAATTACATCAGATCTGTGAGCTTAGAAAATCACAATAGCAGAGCCCTAAGGAGAACACAAAATCTGACCAGCAATGTACATCTACTTTGATTCTAAATTTCTAGGTATAAATAATAAGCCAGAGTAAATTTTTTTGCCTTTTTTTTTTCTTTTTTTTTGCCAGTAAGCAACACCAAATCTGAATTAGTGTTAAATTTCTTGGACTGAATTTTGTTTATCTTCAGGTTTACCTGGTGCAGTTGTGTCTTGCATGTTGCCTTCTCCTGGTTAAGGTGCCATGAAATTGCCATCTTGATTTAACAAGAAGCTTTTTATAGGTTCATAACTTTTTCTTGGTTGTTGTCAATGACATCATTTGTTAGATCTGAGGATCTACAGGATTGCTTGCAGCTACTGCCAGAATTTCTCTTTGTTTAAACATCTTGTGAGATTATCAAATACTGTTGAAGTATTTTTAAAATTCAGACAAACAGGCCTGGAAAAATAATGGTCAGGGCCTGATATTTGTCTGCCATGTTGATAAGCCCTGGCTATATACATGTGGCTGCCCTTTCTCTGGGAGCTAAGCTCAGTTCTTGGCCATGGATGATTATTGCCCTTTTCTCTTCTACTCACCTGGTTCTGTTGACGGTCAGCTTAGTCTGACAGCCAGCAGCTGAAAGTTGTAAAAGTTAGCTTTACACTACTTTTCTGTAAACTAGACTGTAAATAATTGAGATGGATCAGAATTTCTCACAGCTAGGGTAATTTTAGAGGTGAGAAAGAGGATCTAGGACATGTCTAGGAAACCACTTTAATTCTAAGAGCCTTCTCAATTTTTGAAAAGATGTTCTATATGTACTAATGAAAGAGAAACTTTAAAAGGTGTTCAGTTGTGACTGTAAATGAGATAATTACATTGTCATAGATGTGTGGATTGGCAGATTAAATCAGTATTTTTTATTGTATTTTAAATTGATAATATGAAAACAATGACCGAGTGGTGTGTGTTTGTTTTCCTCAACCCTAGCTTAGCTGAATCGTCTAAGAGAGAGATCTATAAATGCCATAAATAATAACCTATGTGCTTTGGGTCTCAGCATGACATTTCTTCTGTAATATACCTGAAAACTAGGAAAGTGGATTTATTAACAGAAATTTTTTTCCTGTCATTTTCATGATCTTTCAAATAGTAAAATAGAATTAGTTTCATCTTTGAATGAACTGCAGGTTGTTAATTACTACATTCTATTCTGCAATTTTCCTTAAATTATTATAATTCTTCATATGAAAAAACAGATGAGGTATGGAGCATGTTCAGCTTGGCTGGATTAACTGAAGTACAAAATTTAGTTGATCGGCGATTACAAGTCAACAGAAAGAAAAAAGTCAAAATGCAGCGAGTCTGGATACAGAGCAAGTTCCAGAAACCATTGCTGCTGCCTCTGAATAATCCTGAAGAAACAACCAAAAAGGACCCGTATGGTTAAATATACCATAACCTCCAGAAATGGAAGCAAATTTGAGTATGTATGTTCACTATAAATCTTGTATTGGCTACTGAAAAGGAGAAAACTATTGAACTAAGAACCCTTCCTTGATGTTTTATAAATGTATGTATTTGAAAATGATCTTGAAAAAGTTGCTTTTCTAACTTCTGCTTTATATAAAGGGACATACATTAATCTGCTCAAAACTATGACCTTGAACTATTTTACTGCCTTGAATATGAATGCTTAATAAAAATTAGAATGTATCCAGTTTCTTGTTGAAATTTGTGATGTGTTAACAAGTATTATACTGATTACATTTCTTTCAGAATTTTGGAGAATGAGGATATATGTTCTCATTTACACAACAAGGGTTGCTGGCTTAATTTTTGAGTTGTGTCTCCTTTAACCACTGTATTTCCTCTTTTGGAGGAAATATTTTGGTGCATAAACACAAACCATTACTTTCTACATTCAGCAGAAGGAAAGTTTTGACAGAATCTGATTTACATTAAAATTATTATTTCATGCCAGCTGCATGTGGTGTATGTGTGGTTCCAGATTAGTGATTACCATTTTGCAGTGTGACTGGCTTATTTCTCTGAAGTCTCTACTTTCCACGTACAAGCTCAAAAGAAACATGCCAAACTGGAGTGTGTGCAACAGGTAACACATACATTATGTTTAAAGTATCCTAAGTTGTTGAATGAACATCGTATCATATAGGAAATCAGAAAAGAATGCCTAAATCAAATAGTTCACCATTTGTCTGGATGAATAGAAATGTTAGTTTTCATGATATTTAATCAGAGACACTAGAGGGAAGATCAAAAAGCGCAATTCAGCGTCTTTGTTGTTACGGGATAGTGTGATCAGTGCTATAATGACTATATACATGGCAGCTGAGATATTTTTGGTATTTACATAGACCTGAAAATACCAAAAATGGATTTCTTCAGGGTTTGAGTTTTAGAAACAGGACACCATCATCTTCTACTGATGCTATGGAGAGATAGTAAGAAGATGAGAATGCACTAATATTTCAGATGCTTTTAAGGAGAAAAACAAAATGCAAACACTGTTTTGAGAGGTTGACTGTGATATTGAGACACTTCAGCAGGTATTGAAACATGCCATATCTTTTTTTTTAATCTAATTTTAAAATCACTAAACCACAAGGAAGATAGTACAAGAAACAGGTGTCTGTGTTACTTTAACAAGGATATAGAACACATATAATTTAGAACATGCTGTTTTGAGTGTCATTCTCAAAACCACTTTTAATCTGAAGGATAAGCACATCACAATTGACAACCCATTTTTTTGCCAATTGTTAACTATTAAGATAAGTGTAAGTGATTGTCTTCCAGAAGGAAGAAAAATGTACATTTGAATGCTTAAGTATCTTCATCACCTTTGGCAGAATGAAGGACCTGCTTATTTTCCATAAAATCAAATGCCTTACATGAAGTCGGGTGCAAAAAGGAGTCTTTGAGGGCAGGACTTGTGTTTCTGCTGCTTTCCAAACTTCCACTAGAGTAAGATACTATTTTATGAATTAAAACGTTTAGGAACATTTATGGTGTAAATCAGATTAAAGATTAAAACATCACAGTATTTTTTAAAGCTCTAATTTTAGGATACTGTAGAATCTGCAAGGGAAATGTAAATAAATTTCTGCTTATATTTTAAAGAAGTTGCTACCCTATGCTATTAAATATGCTTTTTGATATACATAACTCTGAGCCTAATGCAAAGCATATTCAGCTATATAATTTTGTCAGGGGTTGATAATGGAGGTAGCTTCTCGAGTGTTGTAAAATCTTATCTCTGTGTGATGTAGATTTTCCATAATAAAATAAAATTCTGTTTACTTTTATTCTCACACTGATATATTGATTTTGAGAGGATTTTAATGTGCTACGTTAATTAAACAAAAATGTGACATCACAAGAAACCAATTCTCCTCTGTCCTTGAACAAAATTGATGCTCTATGTTCCATACCTTACAGTTTGTGTTGTATAAATTGTGCCCCTTTTAGAAGTGGTAAGTTCAGCTGCTATTTGTAGGACTGTAGACTATCCACTGTAAAGAGAATTTGTAACTAGTCTGAAGAGTTGCAAACTTGATAAAGGGGGAAAAGAAGAAGACATATTTTCTTTCCCAATAGGAGGTTGAACTAGAGAGGACTTTCCATCTTTTTAGCTTTGTGGAATTCTGTTTTTTTGAAAAGCTTAATGAAGGGTATGTTTCTTTAATTATTTTTAAATAATCTGTGCTACCTGAGAAAAACAGAGCTATAATATTGCCAAAAGAAGAACCAGTAAAATTGAAATAAGAGAAATAAAAGCACATGAAACAATCATATTGAAAATGCACTTTTTAAAATGACTTACTGTTTATTAACATATAAAAAGAAAAATTGGGATATTACAGGCAAAATGTGCTTGGTTTAGAAGAATGTTAAATTTTACTTACAAATTCTGAAATTACTTGTTTTTATATAAGATATATGGATGGGCTCTTAAATGGAACCAGGAAACTTTTTTATGTTGTTTCACCATGACTTCCTATGCTTGCAAAGCAGAATTGTGATTAAAAATAGCAATTGTAGAAAAATGATCATGTTAGAATTAAGTTTTGTCTTCACTGGCTTTGGCTTGTTTTTACCATTAGAGTGTACTTCTTGCCCATGTTCCACAGTTATTGAATTGAGTTTATGCATAGGGATATGTGAAAATGGTAGCTGTAGTTCAGACCAAGGATTCTTCTGTCTCGTGGAATTTTTAAGCATGTGCAGAAAACAGTTTTATAGTAAACAAAGTGATTGTCTTTTTTTATTCTAGTTCTGAAGTATCTATTCAATAAGCCATGTTAAAATGTTTCTTCTCTAACCCATAGAAACATGGAACAAACAATCCTGAAATTTGTATTAAGCTTCAACAGAAATCATTCAACATAGATTTTACTACTTTGTTGTGATTCATGGTGTGATCTTCAGCCACTGCTTTGCTGCACTCTGTGTGACACTGTGACAGCTCCCATTTCTCTTTTTCCTATGCACAGTGGATGATTAAGCAGTTTCCACTATAGACATGAGCATTTGCAGTAAAGATTGCTGGCGAGGTTGTTTGTAGGATGTAGGATTTTTCCTTCTGTGTAAAACAGATTTCTTTCTCTTTCTATATGAATGAAATGAATTGTATAGATGCTCAATATAGTGATATTCACCTTTTTTATTATTTTAAGCCCAATATATGCTAAGGTATATTATGTGTAAAGGCAGCGATATTAGGAGACACTTCCTCTGTCAATCATTCTTTCTTTTAATTGATGGTTAAATAGCATTGGAAAGAATGTGTAAATATACACATTATATAATATTAAGAGTTTTCATTAGGCCTAGGAACCATTTAAATAAAATGAAGGATGTGTTAGGGAAAGGGGCACTGATCTGTTATAAAAATAGGGTGAAACTCTGACAAACAAATAGGGGTAAGGATTTGAGAGGGAAAATGTTCTTTCGAAGGCTGTATCTCACAAGTGGTGCTGTACTTTAGCATCTTAGTGTAATATTGTAGGATTTGTCTTTCATCCGTATATACATAATATATTTCTATTTATTGCAAAGATGGAATGTTTCATTTGTTTTCATTTATATGTGCTGTGCACATGTGTTTAGAACAGTGAAGGTGGGTTTATGATACACCTGCTTTTGCTTTTTCCTTAGGGAAAAACGTTTTTACCTTCTTTCAGGCAGAACTTTGAAGTGACAGAAGCTACAATCCCAACCTGAGAGGCAAATACACAAAAATAAGGAAATCTCTGCACTCTGATTATTTGCAGTCAAGGTAGGACAGTTAAATTTACTCTGTATGTTCTGATGTCCCATCTAAATCAAGACCATAGCTGCAGATCATCACATTGAAGTGCCTCCCAGTCTCTGTTTGTTATACTTGCATCTGTTCAACAGAATTAAATGATTTTTCTATAAAGTAGAAATACAACTTAGAAGGAAAACATGCCTGAACAGTCCATTGGCCTCATGTGGGACTACAACAATTTAAAGTCGGAGTCTCTTTCTTTTTTTTTCTTTTTCTTTTTTTTTTTTTTTTTTTTTTTTTAAACAACAGAAGGCCCCAGACTTTCAGAGTTACAGAGGGGTACCCAACCCAAGGCCTGGAAATTTAGGGTATTCTTCAAGGTATGATGTACTGCGTCAAGGATATTAAACCTGTTACCTGCATGACGAATCTTTGTAGCTCTCATGTTAGCCAACTGGACCTTGCCTGCTGCAGCAGTGAAGAAGCAGCGAGCAACTGAAAACATAATGGGCACGTTTTCAGATGATATTGCTGGAGAATAAAGCTGAATGCAAAATTGGTCTAGTAGGCAAGTTTTACTGAACTAAGTAGAAATAAGAGAAAAAAAAAGGAAAATAGTAATTGCTGTGACAATGTGTAATGATCTGTAACAATCATACAGAAGTTACTATTTCACTGAGAATGACAAATTCAGTGCTTTGCATGAGTTTTAGCACACTTTTGCCTTAGGATGATATCACTGTACATTTGGAGTAGCTAACAGCTAAGGAATAGAAAGAATTGGTTTGCTAAAAGAACAAGCAATTGATTAATTATGCTTAGGTCAGGCTGGCTGTATAGGAGGGCTCTGCTGCAGAGCCAATATTCATTTTCTCTTTCTTCGGTGTCAGGCACATTCTGGCCTCCATTTCCTCCCAAATAACAAGTGCTCTTTAAATGGAGGAGCCACATCTTTGAACTTGAATAAAAGGGTCATTGTGCAGTGCAGGGTTTAGCAGATGGGCTAAGGAATCCGAACTTACTACTAGTCTTTTATTCAGCGCTATGGAAAGCGTTGCCCCTTTTAATGGCTCTGTTTGCTACGTACGCTATTAAGCACAGTAATCAGATGTCATTCTGAGGAATCGGGCGGCATAGTTTCCACTGACACAGATTATGCTCAGCAGTGAGAGGAGGATGAGAAAGAACGGTGGGAGGAGAAATGAAAAGACAATGTGAGGCATTTCCAGGAGGAGGTTTGCACTCCAGCACTTGCATGTGGGTGAAGACCCTGCTGCGAAATGATTTTTTGCTCCGATGTGGAGCTGAGCTGAATCTTCTGCATTCACCTGGGTTTGATCTCCATCCCTGCGAACAGCCCCTGCAACCTTTATTAAGCATTTATTTAAAATGAGGAGAAAATAACAGTAGCTAGAAGCTGCTGCATCTGTAACTGCAAGTTCACAGAGAGAGACCCTGGCACATTAATCCCTGGCATAAATGGGAGTAATTCTCTATGATACCAATACAAAGCCTGTTTACAGTGG